TAATTGCCAGATTTTTTGCATTTTATCCCGTTTTAGGCTCTACCCCCTACGTGACTGTATCCTCTTTTTTTTTTTTTTTTTTTTTTTTTTTTATTCAATATATTTAAATACATAAAAGCACATAGACAACTAAGTATACTTAATCAATAAAGATTATATCAAAATGTAGAGGAGAGTGATATTGTTATAGTATTTCTTATAGATATTATATGTTTTAATAGCTTTGTTTTGGACCTGTTTTCCTGTTTGGAAGTATTGTTGTATTTCGTTATTATCATGATGACCATTTGGTTTATTTTGAGTCCATTTTGTTTTGTGTATATGATACTTTGCCAGCATGATGCGAGTGTGAATGAGGAAACAGAGATCTCTGAGGATGGACTGGTTGTTGAAGAAGAGCAGGACGTCAGTTTCCTGGAGCCCGACCACGTGTCTGGTTTTGGTTTGGATGAGTTGTTGTACGTCGGTCCAGATGTTTCTACTGTACGTACCAAAGTTCGTGACTTGGACTTGAGTCAGACTTGAGTAGGGATGTGCAAAAATATCGAAATATCAATATATTGTATCTTTAAATGTGATGATACAGTGTCAATATCATGGACTGCTGTATCGATATATCGCCAAGAGTATTTTTTTGTATAATTTACTAAATAATTTTCTTACATTTTCACTATTTTGGTGATTAAAATGTTTGTGTTTCATATTCACTTTGCACAAGAAGTGGTTTAACAAAGACTTAGTATCACAGCCATGATTTAGCTTTTATTTTTTATCGAACTGCATCGAATCGATTTGAAATATATTGTACTGAATCGAGCGCTCACTGTATGAAGATATGTATCGTATCGTGGCTTATGTATTGAGGTACATATCGTATCGGCAACTTCTTAATGATACCCAGCCCTGGACTTGAGTCACTATTTTTTAGGACTTGAGACTTGACTTGATAAAATGGACTAAGACTTGGGACTTGATTTGGACTTGAGGCCTGCGACTTGAGAAGACTTGCGAAGCACTTTTAAACCTGAATTCTTTCTATTCTGACTAATGATTCACACTAAGATCTTGTCGAAACATTTAAAAACTAAAAATGTACATTTCTACAACTCTTACATACTTGTATATTTTTAAGTACAATTTAATTTAATTCAAAATTCATATAAATTGCAAAAATCTAAGATATTAAGGTTTTGCGTCTACGTCACGAAACCACATGACCTGGTGTTTATGCCGCCATATTGGAGGTCAAACTATCCATCTGGACGAACATGTGGTATTTATGTGCGATAAAGTTTGAACTGAATAACAATGGTTTTGACCTGTTTTGCTGTTGGATGTTCTGGCCGGAGTCAATCTGCTAAAGAAGGAGGCCAAAGTATCTTTCTATCGGATCCTGGATGATAAAGATCGCAGACAGAGGTGGATAGTGGTGATAAAAAAAGAGGGATAGAGCCCACTGAGTACAGTCGTCAGTGCAGTCAACATATCATTTATGGTGAGGGACCATCTCCACACAAACGAAGAAGGGATTTACAGTAAATGAAATGATATATATCCACCCCCAAACACCCTCCACCCTCACTTTCACCGGCAAGGAATCCCCCCCCACCTCGGCCCTCTATTTCCACCATCCCGGGGCAGCTCCGGATCTGATTTTGACCCCCATTCTACTTCCCCTGGCTGTTATCAGGAACAGATGTGATGTTTGGTGATCAACAAAGATCTCACGCATCCCGCCACAAAATATTTATCTGCTATTTATCTGCTTCTAACCTCGTGTAGCTTTTTAGTTTTTGGTTGATGTAGGATGATGTCGAATGAATGAAGTAGTTGTAAATATCTGGATACTGAAGGTTGTGCACAGAGCGAGCCTTGATTAGACTGACAAAGCTCCATCGGAATTAGATCGGGATCTATTCCACAACCCAGGAGGACGACTTTAGCTTTATACTTTTCTAATGACGCTGATCTAACGAGCTGGTGATTTTATGTCATTTGCGCTGTTTAAAGTCGCCATGATTATATTGAAATAAACTAAATAATTCCAATCTTGACCTCCAGTATGGCCGCCAAAACATTAAATCACACTCCATATTTGGTATTTTGGTTTAAAGATTTGAAATGACTTGAAGCTCAAAGCAGACGACTTGGACTTAACTTGGACTTACGGGCCAGTGACTTGAGACTCGACTTGGACTTTCCTGTATTTGACTTGGGACTTGACTCGGACTTGAGGTCAAAGACTTGAGACTTGCAAAACAACGACTTGGTCCCACCTCTGGTAAGTACAATAGTAGAACAGGTGAGTGCTCCGTCTTTGTTTTGTCAGATTAAAGGTCCTACACTACACAAAATGGATTCTTGTGACAGATACAATGAATCCTATAATTAAAGTTGCACTACATTTTTTTGTTTGTTTGTTTTTGCTTTGTTTGGAATGGCATTACATTCAACTTTCTTTCTCAAAAATACCTTGAAAAACATGCATTCTTGCCATGTGAGCTTGACTGGTCTGGTGTAGTGACCTTGTTTGTTTGTTTTAGTTGTAAAAGTAAAAAGGAGTAAAAGGATAAGTATTATTAACGATTTTGCATTTTATCCCTCTTTAGGCTTTGATTATACAGGAGACAGAAGAAAGAAAACAAAACAAAACAATAAACCTGGTAAGTCCACAAACTAAGTATACTTAATCAAATAAAGAATTATATCAAAATGTACTGGACAGTGATATTTTCGAAGATTTGAAATGACTTGAAGCTCAAAGAAGATGACTTGGATTTAACTTGGACTTATGGGCCAGTGACTCGAGACTCAACTTGGACTTGCCTGTATTTGACTTGGGACTTGACTCGGACTTGAGGTCAAAGACTTGGACTTACTTGAGACTTGCAAAACAAAGACTTGGTCCCACCTCTGCTAAGTATAATAGTAGAACAGGTGAGTGATGTGCTGTCTTGTTTTGACAGAGGTCCTGTGTTACACAAAATGGATTGTTGTGACAGATAAAGTTAAGTAGCCTTTAACTGGGCCTGCTCTGACACTAATCTGAGAGAGGGAGGGGTCAGAAAACAGGCTGACAGATGGCTAAGCACCTGGAAACCTCCTGATATCTGCACTGCAAATGCTCCAACTTTACAAACAATCAGACCAGAGTTCGCTGAGATTTTAGGTTTCCACGCCAGATGGACGTTGTGGACGATCTCTTGGAGGACTGGCAGGAGTCGCTGGCGCTCTTCGGGTCGGTGTGGTCGGAGTCCCTGGGTGAGCGGAGGAGAGGGGTCCCGGGGTGGTCCATGTGGCTGGATTGCCTGGGCGAGCAGAGGAGGGTGGTCCCAGGGTGGTCCTTATGTCTGGAGGCGTTGGAGCATTTGCGTCTGGATTTAATGATTCATACGGAGCTGTTGTTGGAGCAGAGCGATGTCTGTCTGAATCTGCTGGCCCCACTGTGCACGGACGACCCAAATGTGTGGCTATTCCTGCAACACTAACAGAACTTTTATATTGTTTTTAAGTTTTATTAATGTAGCTAACGATATTTTTGATCTTATGTCTAAATGTTATTAAAGCATGTTACTGTTCACGTATGATGTTTTTTGTGAAACATAAGGGTAAAAAAGGTAGGAGAACCCTTATTTGTTCATTTACAGTGTTGCAATAGAAAAGTACAGAGATACATTCAAGATATACAACCAAACATAAGAAAATGAAAAAATATATTTTTTCTTCATTATTTGTCTCCAAAATCAAAATGAAAAAACAGAAAAACAGAGTTTTTTCAGTTTTCGATTTTATGTTTAAATGAATTTACAGTGCGACTGGGGATGTTGTTGGGTGGTGGAAAGAATACTTTTAGGATCTCCTCAATCCCACCGTCACGTCTTCCGAGGAGGAAGCTGAGACTGGGGACTCGGAGGCGGATTCATCCATCACCCTGGCCGAAGTCACTGAGGTGGTTGGCAAGCTCCTTGGTGGCTCCGGGGGTGAATGAGATCTGTCCTGAGTATCTTAAGTCTCTGGATATTGTGGGGCTGTCTTGGCTGACACGTCTCTTCAGCAGGTAAGGTCTATTCCAGGGTACTGGAGAGGAGAATCCGGCCGAAAGTCGAACATCGGATCCGGGAGGAGCAGTGTGGTTTTTGTACGAGTCCGAGTGTGAAGCAACTGGGATGAGGATCAGTTCTTCCAAGTCTGAGGCCACGGTTCTCGACCAGAAAAAGGTGTCTTCCCTCTCCAGGGTGGTGGAGAATTCCTGCCTCAAGTGGAGGAGTTCAAGTATCTTGGGGTCTTGTTCATGAGTGAGGGGAGGATGGAGCATGAGATTGACAGGTGGATCGGTGCAGCTTCGGCAGTGATGCGGTCGCTGTATCGGACCGATGTGGTGAAGAGGGAGCTGAGCCGAAAGGCAAAGCTCTTGATTTACCGCTTAATCTACGTTCCTTCCCTCACCTATGGTCATGAGCTCTGAGTAGTGACTGAAAGGACGAGATCGTGGATACAAGTGGTCGAAATGAGTTTTCTCCGCAGGGTGGCTGGGCGCTCCCTTAGAGATAGGGTGAGGAGCTCAGTCACACGGGAGGAGCTCGGAGTAGAGCCACTGCTCCTCCACGTCGAGAGGAGCCAGATGAGGTGGCTCGGGCATCTGTTCCAGATGTCTCCTGGGCGCCTTCCTCAGGAGGTGTTCTGGGCATATCCCACCGGGAGGAGGCCCTGGGGAAGACCCAGGACACGCTGGAGGGACTATGTCTCTCGGCTGCCCCGTATAAGTGGAAGAAAATGGATGGATGTTTAATTTTGTTAATATATTTTTGTGAATGTGTAAAAAATAATTCTCGAGTCTGTTTTTGTTGAATCTTTTACAAATAAACTAATAATTATACAGTAAACTACAAATCTACTGTCGGAACACTATGTGAACTACAATACCCACAATCCCGCGCGGCATAAAACAAACAAGGAGACACCATGGAAGACACGCTGGCATTACGTCATCACGTTTCAAAGGTTGTTGTGTACAGTTTTCTGTGAGCAGCATGGGAACACCGTGTAACCGTACACTCTCTTATGAAAGAAAATACCGAGAATAAAGGTATGACAATGCAAATTAATACAAGTTTTATTTTATTTTTTACATTTAACTGAGGATAATCTCATTCAGAACAAGAGTAGTGTTAAACCGATAGAAAGGGAGCAACGTGTTAGCCTGCAACGAAAAACAAACCCAAGTGACATTATCTTATCTGTCAAACTTTGAACATGTATTATAAGTAATCTAATATTTCTAAGTGATTTCAACAAAGTAAAACGTCTTTTGTTATTTCATTAAACCACAGCAAACGCGCTCTACCTTACCTATGTTTCATCATCGCATTCTTGGAGTAATAAACAGATGTTAGGAAATGTTAAGCAATGAATGAACCGCTTGTTTTTGATATATGACTTGTAGTAAGACATTTATGGTACAAATAGCAGCAATCAGCGCATAAAAAGACCGTAAAATGTGTTGTCAAGGCAGTGTACCCACGAAATCTTATGTATTATGTAATTTTAGCTGTTTTCGTTTCCCCATTTTCACAGTACATAAACTTCCAATTCTGCAGTAGTACTAAATGTACAATTCTGACAAAGAAGATTTAATTGTGGTCATGTACTGGTAGGCTGGTATTGACCGTGACAACAAAAACTTTTATTTAAAGGTTCTATATTACACAAAATGCACTCTTGTTAGCTTTAAGCCATGTTATAATGTTGTTACCTCCTCATAAAACATACCTGGAGTTGTGTTTTGTTACATTCACACATTTTGAGTAACCCTTTATTATTAGTTTGTCTGAATCTCCAAAGCTCAAAATGCTCTGTTCCACCTTGTGATGTCATGAAGTGGTAGTTTGTCAATATAACAGCTACCGTTTACTTTTAGTTCAATAGAAATTGTCTGTTTTCTGTTTGTGAGAAGAACTAAAGAACCTAAATATGCAGGGTTTCTGTGTTAAACATGTGTGAATAAAAGAAAACACAACTTCAGGCGTGTTTGTGATGAGGAAACAACATTTTAACTTCCATCCATTCATCAGTTTTCTTCTGCTTTATCTGGGGCCGGGTCACGGAGGCAGCAGTCTGAGCGGGGAGGCCCAGATTTCCCTCTCCACGCACACTCCCTCCCTCCAGCTCTTCCGGGGGTATCCCAAGACATCCCCAGAGACGTAGTCCTTCCAGCGTGTCCTGGGTCTTCCCCGGGACCTCCTAACATTTTAAGATAGATCAGAAAATAGTGGTAATATGGGCCCTTTTCCAATTTTACTTTTTATTGAGAAAGCAGATTACACCTTGCCATGTATAAATTGAAATCACACGTTCCTGCTTTTACATTTTTAGAAAACATACACAAACTCGGAACAGGTTGAGGAGCCAGGGAACCTCTTTCACAGTTTAACAGAATATTGCAGCTATGAAGTAGTTTTATATGACGCCTGATCTCACCGGCTTTACGTGCTCTGCCCATTTAGACCACATCTTGTAAAATAAGTCCAGCTGCACTTTCAATAAAAATAAAACCTTTTCCATCGTGTAGATCTCTTGCACAATGTCTGTCCAGTTCTGAATTGTCGGTCGTTCAGGTTTAAGCCACTTCCTTGTTATTGCCTTTTTACTTGCTGCCAATAGAATATAGAGTAATCTCTTGTTTGTGTTGTTAAGACCAGTATGTACGGAAGCCGAGAGGGGTCACAACAAACGCAAACGCCGCAACAAATACAAATGTGACAACACAACAAAAAGCCACAACAAACCAAAAAAAGCCACAACGGAAATGACCGCGGGACTCTATTTTAATGCAAACGCCACAACACAAACGCAAATGCACATTAAAAAGCCACAACACATTAAAATGCCACAACGGAAATGACCGCAGGACTCTATTTTCTGACGGACCGATCAAGCAGCAAGTGAAGAAGAAGAACTACAACGTGAAACAAATAATGATAAAACAATAAATTACTTTTACTTATGTTTCCAACTTCTCCGTTCCTTTACTTTTCACGTTGTAGTTCTTCTTCTTCACTTGCCGCTTGATCGGTCAGTCGGAAAATAGAGTCCCGCGGTCACTTCCGTTGTGGCTTTTTGATGTGTTGTGGCTTTTTAATGTGTTGCGGCATTTGCATTTGTGTTGTGGCGTTTGTATTTGTTGCGGCGTTTGCATTAAAATAGAGTCCCGCGGTCATTTCCTTTGTGGCTTTTTTTTGGTGTGTTGTGGCTTTTTGTTGTGTTGTCGCATTTGTATTTGTTGCGGCGTTTGCGTTTGTTGTGACCCCTCTCGGCTTCCGTAAATATGGGCCCTTTTAATCTCCTAAAACAATTTCCCTTTGAATAAGTCACCTTTTTAGCCCAGCGAATAATTAAGTGATTAATAAGTGTGTTACAAATTTATAATAAATGTTTGTAGTTTAAAAGATACACATTTCTGTATCAATACCTGTAATGCAAGAATTCTGTAAAGATTTATTGCAGATATTTTAAGTACAGCCCTCTTCTGCTGTTCTCTAATTGCTGTCATGTGATAATAGCTTTGTATTCAATTATACAAATCATTTTACCCATTCCGCTCATACTCTGGTAATTTTCTGTCTCTGTCTCTGTCTGTCGCCTAGGCCTCCTCTTCGTCATGAGACCTTAACATAGTTTCATTCATCGGGCGTTATGAGTGGTGCGGTGCTCGCGGTTGTGGTTGTTCTGGTTTTCTTCTTGGCCCTGTTCCTCCTGCACAGATATGGAGACCTGAAGAGGCAGCAGCGACTCGTGCTTTTGGGGACTCTGCTGGCCTGGTACCTCTGCTTCCTCATCGTATTCATCCTCCCCTTTGACGTCAGCACGGTACTTATTACACTTATTTATTTTATTTATTTTATTTGTATGCTGAGCAATCCAGTCAAGTTAGTTAGGTATAAGGAATTTTGTAACAGTACTACAATTTCAGACTTGATTTCAATACAGATTCTGATACCACAATGATAATAATTAAAAAAAACATTAAATAGTACTTTCTTTTCTATTCGCATGTGGTCTTATATATAGCTGTGTAATCCCTCAGTGGTCCATGGGCGTATACTAGTCTATGTGCTCTAATACTTGTTCTGATACAGCTCAAAATGATTCTAAAGCTATTCAGGAAAGGCTAATTTCTGTTTGTGAATGTGACTTTTTTTTTGCGTGCTCATATTACTTATTTCTTAATTATTTATTTGTAAAGGGACAGCACATATTAATGAACATAAAAATGTTAATATGTAAAGATTATAGCTAGTGTGGTTAATTTCCATCTTCAGTCCCTCGGCAGGTTGATGTAAAATCATCTACAGGTCAAGGAAAAGTACAACAACAATCACACAAAAGTACATAACGCCAGCACACTCACTATACGTACAACACACTCACTGTACATACAATTAATTTCAAACAGTTCATTTAAAGTTCAAAGTCAAGAGTTTAAGAGTTAAACCAAGAGTTAAACCAACCATCCCTCAAAATAAAAGAAAATGTAATTTGGTTAAACATGGCAACATATTTGACCATTGAACAACCACTGTTTTAAAGCTTTAGAAAATGCTGCCAGTGTTGAAAGTTCTCATATATATGCAGGCACTGTTTTCCATGTTTGATCTGCTCGATAAGCAAAAGAGAGCTGTCCAAAAGCACTTTTCCTAAACGGCACAGAGCAGTCTCCTCTAGAGTCTGCTCTGGTTTTGTGATTTGAATTGCTTTTCACAAACTTCTTCATTGGAGGTGCAGCAAGATTAATAAAACCTTTGTATACTAAAATTAAATCAGCATATTTAATTGTGTTGTCCCAATTTAGGAATTTGTATTTGTCAAGTATTTAGCAATTTTTATGGGCTTTTTATCTAATACCTTAAGTGTTTTTTTTAAAAAGACAGTTTCAGCTAATTTAAGAGTAGTTTTGCTTGTCAGAGTCCAACTAGTTATGCAATAATTTATGTGCAGCAAAATAACTGAATTCCAACACATATTTGCCAAGTTTGTTGTTAGATTATTTCTCATATGACGAAAATAACTAGACATGACTGTCTAGATTCAATACCAGTTTTAGTATGAAGTAGTCGATCAATACTTTTAACAACCCTAGGCTGTATTTACCTAAAGAAATTTGTGGTAGTATAAAGACTTGCTCTAGGCATTTGTCAACTTAAAGGAGGATATAAGCTATAAACTATGTAAACAGAGAAATATGAGTAACTAGAATGATGACAATGATGATATTACAACCTTTGGAACCTTATCAGTCAGTGATAATGATGAGTAATAACATGTTCTACTGTAAGCTCCCAAAATACATTTTAAATATGAAGGAGCTGCTATGGTTTCATAACACACACAAAAGTCTACAGCTCTGCTCAATATTTAGTTTGTACCTGTTTTTCCACTTTCATAGCATTTATTCCATTTAGTAGAAATACCTTTTTATTTTAAATTGTTGTTGGCTCATCTGCTGCTTATTTTGTTGTTTCAGACCATCTATAAACGATGCCTTGCCAACAGTGCCGCTGCAAGGTAAGACACTCTACTGACCCCATGTGGCAATCTTTAGAAATGCAATACTTGCCTCTTTTGAACGATGGATGAAAAATGATTAAAGGAAATAAGTGTAGCCTTACTTTTGTTTTTAAAAAGCTACAACAATCACATCTGAATCTGGGCTGCCAGTAAATTAACCTTCAGATAGAGGACAAAGTTTGCCTCATTCTCAGTGTATGGGCATGTCTCACGTGAAAGATCAGAACCTCCAGAATTCCCTCACTGAGCTGCAGAGGCTGCACTAGCACTGACTCATGACTGGCTGCAGGTGCTGGGCTTTAGGTAGTGAATGAGATTCAGATCAGAGACAGTTTTGCTCCATGCCCAGTTCATTCATAATAATGTGACCATGTTGTGTTTTAACGTGTTGTGTTTATGTAACTGTGCAGTGAAGAGTGTGAGCAGCCGTGGAGTTACATCCCTGAGGGGGTCCTGCCCGTGTTCTGGAGAGTCGTGTACTGGACCTCACAGTTTCTAACATGGTGGGCCCCTTTTACATACATGTTACTAAAAAACTTTTTTAAAACAATTTTTTATAATAAGTCAAATCAGAACAGCCCATATTTTTTTGCATCCCATCGGAAAGGTGCTTGGTTGAGGTTCAGCGATTGCACAAAATAGTATTTTATTGTAAAATTTAAACAATTGCAGAAATTACAATTTAAAACATTTTCTTTTATCTAATCAGGTGTTACAGTGGAGCACCAGTGGTTTTGCGTCACATTTCCTGGTATGAATGTGGTGTGGGCAGCTGTGACTGCAATAGTGTGTGTGTGTGGAGTGAATGAATAATCCACCATAAGTGCTTTGGGTTTCTTGAAAGGCACTATATAAATCCACTTATTAATTAATTAAATGATCAAAATTGTTCTCCTTTTTATATGTACCAGATATTTTAAATTACCATGATGTCCAAAACAATTTTTTTGATATAATGCCCACCTCTACTGCAAGACTTATTTTTGAGATTTTCTGAATGTTTTTATTAATGTGTGTTGTATATATGTATAGTGTATATTTAAATGTTTACTTTAAATATTGTGTTTTGGTTCAGGCTTTTGCTGCCCTTCATGCAGTCCTACGCTCAGTCAGGAGCTTTCTCCAGAATGGGGAAAATAAAAACAGCTCTAATCAAGAATGCAATCTACTACGGGACCTACCTCGTCATCTTTGTCTCTCTCCTCATATATGTGGTCATACATCTCAAGTGGAAATTCAAATTGTGAGTTTTTGGAAAGAGTTTAAATATATCTATGTGTCTTTAAAAACTGTAACTTTTCTTGTAGATTATCATCTATCTGTTGAGATGTTATTGCTTTGCCTAGAATATTCCATACTAGACATTAATCTGTTTCCATAGAGACATGAGTCATGTTAAGCCACCAGGCCAAATGAAAATTCCCCTTCATTTTACCCTATAGACCTTTTCAAAAACAAACTTTGAAAGCTTGCTTAGGGCTAATTAGGATGTTTAAACACATGATCCTAATGATCCTAAAGCTTTATTTGTGTTTTCAGTCGGGAGCTCCAGACGGTCTGTATCACGGCAGCCAACACGTGGGGTCTGTTCCTCCTGGTTCTGCTGTTGGGCTATGGGCTGGTCGAAATCCCACGCTCCTGTTGGCTCTCGTCAAACCCGACCTACCTCCTCAACAAGACCTATTTTAAAGTGGCTAAAATGGCGATAGAAAAGGCAGCTGCAGAGGAGGATCTCGCCGATGTTATGGAGGTGAGAGAGTGTCACCTGTTACCTGTAATTTAAAGGTTCTATATTACACAAAATTTACTCTTGTGAGCTTTAAACCATGTTGGTATGTCATCAGAACATACCTGGAGTCACGAAGGACTGATGCAGAGCTCCGCTCCCCACAGGGCTAAGAGCAGCCATTGCCCAATCACGCTTTGCAGACAACCTGTTTTGCAGGCTCAGGGTTCTCCCTCTCTCTCTCATGTCCAAGATTAGTCCTGGTTTAGACCTGGTTTAGTCCTGGTTTAGTTCTGGTTAAGTCTTGGTTTAAACCTGGTTTAGTCCTGGTTTAGTCTTCGTGTCCTACTGATGTTCAGTAATGTTAAAAGTCGCCTCAATTAGTCCTGCATGAAGTTGGACTTTATTTGCTGTTACAAAAATGGTTTATGAATGCACTTTAAAAAAAAAAAAAGAAAATGCAATCTTAAAAAATATAAGATGCATTTACTTCAAAGTCCTGTGTGGGGGAGGACAGGTGGAGGGGAGTTTGGGCGGGGGGGTGGGGGGTGGGGGCAGCTGTCTTTATGTACTCTAAGGGGAGGCTCACACACCCAATTTGAAAATGCCTGGTCTAATTGGATTTTGATTTATTGATTTGTTATATTAAATGAAAATCCTAGATACTATTTTTTGTAATTACATGATGTATTTTTCTTGTTTTCCAGGAGGTTGCTGCTGTGCATCAGTCTGTAAACAGCAACAATTCTTTAAGGAAACGTGTGGATACCATCATATCAAAGGTAAAAACAAGAGCTACTTCAGCTGTTCTTATTACAGTTTCAGTTTCAAATAATATCACAGGATCAGTCAGTAATGTTTAACTCAAATGTGAGCTGCTCAGATGAATTATGAGGTTCAACATTTGTGCCTTTACCTTTTTGAATTCTCATGGCAAAGTAGAATGTAATCAATAGAAACATTTGACCATTGTCCCCATCTTTTTCCAGTGTTCAGTGAGTAACAAATAACTTAACACGTTTTAATTAAGACTCAGCTGGTCTAGGGTGACCAGATTTTCAGAATTCTAAACTGGGACACACTGGGGTTAGGATGGTTGGTATGAATAAAATTGGGAAAAGAACGTGTAAGATTGTGCATTTTTGTGTCATTCTTGTGATCATTCGCCAACACAGATTTCTATATTTTGGCTAAATGACATTTTATGCTCCTCTTTACTGTTGGTGGGGATCAAATTAGACAAAAATTGTGATAGTCCTGTTTTAGACCTGTTATAGTCCTGGTTTAGTCTTAGTTTAGTCCTGGTTTAGATCAAATTGGTCAAAAATAGGGACACCTGGGACATTTCTTGTATAAAACTGAGACAAGTCACTGGTTTTGAATAACTCTACTGGGACGGGGGACACAGGGCTCATAACTGGGACTATCCCAGTTAAAAATTGACATCTGGTCAGCCTGAACTGGTCAGACGATGTCCTGCTCTCATTCTAAGATCCAGAGCAGTATTCATGTTTTTTTTTCATCTGATTCCAGTGTCCGGCTGTGTACCAGGAGGAAATGACCAGAGAAATAGACGGTTCACCTGTTTCACACGTTACTCCCAGCGTTGGAGGACTAGTTACACTCCACAAAAAGGTACTTGCAGTTTGGATTCTTTTAGTCAGACAACTTCATTCACACCTCTTTTGTTGAAAATCAAACACGTAAACCGGATGAACACTTGTATTGATCCCAGACTCTGGAAAATGCGTTGTTTAAATCCATCTTAAAACTTTTGTTGGCTTTGTTTGCTGTGTTTGTCCACTGTGGCCCCATAGCAACAGCTGAACATCCCTCCATAGACATACATGTAGAACACACTCACTACAAAGTACCAGTTGTGTTTCTTTGTTACGACCCAAAATAAACCAAAACATATGTAATAACGGACATGGAAAACAAAGTTAAGGATTAAATATTTTTTATTTTTTTTATTTTAAGAACCTTTAACTCGTGTCCAACAAAAAAACAACGTACCAAAGGAAAAGACCCAGGTGAGCTGGTCAACATAAAATAAGGACGGTGTGTTGGACAGGCCATCAGAGCTGCCAGTGCACACACAACGAAAACACAACCCCAAAAACTATCCCTATATAAACTACTATATAAACTAACAAACGAAAACAGGACGTCTGGACTCACCAGGGCAAACAAAAAAGGCGAGGCTAACAAAAACAACTAACAAATCGGCACTGGATCCAGCAGGAGGCAGCTCCCCAGTGCGAGGACGAGAGCGAGCACGCTGGACTTGTGCTATTTAAAGACTCCTAGGCAGAAATTAGGAGCAAACAAAAAAAACAGGGTTCCCACAGTCATGGCAATCCTGGAAAAGTCATGGAAACTGAAACTGTCATTTTCCAGGCCTGAAAAAGTCATGGAATTTTAGTATCTCTTTAACACAACTACAGTGTCCTGTTAAATTATCATTAGGCTGTTATGATTATTTCTGAGCATATGTACCTTTTGTTTAGCCTGATTCATCAGCCGGTTTCACTTCGTTTCACTTCATACAAACCGTCTGACCTCGCAGTGTTAGAATTCATTCGCTCGACAGTAGGTGGGTACTTGTATTATTTAACCAGTCGCTGCTATTTGGTTGTCACGTATGTAATGCGCAGCTACATGGGCTAACTGGTATATTAAGCTTTTCCCAAATCCCGTAAGAAGAAGGGCAATAACGTCTAATCGTTGACAACACAGAATGTCTGGCTCTTCGCTGATTGGCTGGTGCCCGAACTTGCACTTCCGGGGTTCTTGCAAACCGTCTAGTGTTTTCCGATTCCTGACCTAGTTGCTGGAGAAAACTGAAATTGAGCGGAGGCACTAGGTGGCGCCAGCCTGGCTACCTTTTGTTTAAAAGAGACGACAATAAAAGCACTGACAATATTTTGAATGTTAAAAAATTTTAATACCAAACCATTAGGTGAGTGGAACGGGTTAACATTTCATATTTAGTCCTAAAAGTCTGATCAATTCTACACATGTGATGCTGTAAAGTCATGGAAAATTCACTTTAGATCATGAAAAAGACATGGAAAAGTTTTGAAATTTGAATGAAAAAGAGCTGGAATCCTGAAAAAAAAAACTTTAAACGTTCAAAAATAGGAATAACTTGCAAAAAACAAAACTGTGAAAAATACTGCAAAAAATAGACAACAATAAAAATACAGGGGAAAACAGAAGGTGCCCAAACGTCACATTCTGACTTGCCTCGTAGGTGATCCTTTGTGTGCAGAGGAGCAACCGTGTCCTGGTGCAGTGGCCCCTCCTCTTAAACCAGGCGTTTCATTTAGAAGATGTGTCTAAGAGTAAGGCCTCTCCGGTCAGGTACTTCATGCACAGCTTCGACTCAGATCAACCTGCGGGATGGGTCCAAAAGTTCCTCTATACGCCCTCTGTTGGTGAGTTTTATACAGCAGACACATTGTTCACCTATACTGTGTTTTGGAAATGCAATTATGTAATTTTAGCTGAAAAGAAAATTATTAAAGGCCTTATACCAAATTTCTTTCCCATGTATATGAGAAAAATGTGTCTTGCCGCAGAACAGATAAATATTTTGTAAGTAATAAGTAATATACATTTCTTGTCCAGTAATTAGGAAAACTACTGTATTTTTCGGACTATAAGTCACACTTTTTTCATGGTTTGGGTGTTTCCTGCGACTTATACTCCAGTGCGATTTATATATTAAAATTTTCACACTGAAGTCGTGAGAGGCTCTAGTCTTGTGTGTCAGTATCTGCTGCTCCTGTTCCTCCTGTACCACTGTCACTTGGCTCTACTGCACATGTCTCCGGCAGAAAGAGCCTCTGTCCTGCTGCAAGTCGTGAAATATTCAGCCCGAAAACGGTAATCGAGCAGCAGAAAGAAAGTTTGGAGTGAGTGAGAAACTTGTGAGGGACTGGAGAAAGCGGGGATGGAGAACACAGCTACACGGTAACCAGGAGGATGCACCATGAAACTTTCCTGGAAGTCACTGGATGGACGGACAAAGCCTGGACTTCAGTGACACCGAAACCATCCTGTCAGGATTCAGAAAGGCCAGAATAATTCTAACTGGAACTGATGCTGAGTCTGAAGACAGCGACACAGAAGAGGAAGCGGCGCTCTGTTTACCTCCAGAGGTCGTGGAGTTGTTCAGAAGTGACACCGAGGATGAAGAATTGAATGGATTTAGTGATTTGGAGTGAGATGGAGAGTTTGTTAAACTTGTTCTGCTCTGTTGTTTATGTTATAATTTATCTGAAGAACTGTTCATATGTGACGTTAACAGTCTGTTGTTCTCTCTTCTATTGTTTTTACTAGAACTTGACTTTCAAGATGAAATATCGGTTCCTGGTCTCTGATGTTATAAAATAAATTTCCCCAAAAAAGTTCGACTTATATATGTTTTTTTTTCTTCTTCATTACACATTTTTTGGCTGGTGCGATACTCCGGAGCAACTTCTTAGTCCAAAAAATATAGCACCTTAAAAACGTGAAAAATACAACTAGTACATTTTAAAGGCTTTGTAGTCGTCCAAAGTTATTCCTCACGAGTTAATAAATGCTTTTCAGAACAGCCAGAAACCAGTTTTGTCGTCACATTGAAGCTAACAACGACTAGCAGGCTAACACGTACTTCCTGATTATCAATAAAAATTTGAAACGTTTTATAATTTGATGCAGACTTAGACTTATTTTGACCTCCAGAGCTGCTTATATAATATATCTGTACTGGGGCAAGACACATTTTGATCAAACGTGAAAAAAGTAAAGGTACAGGCCCTTGAATTGCTCAGCCGTAATTCATGCTGTTGTAATTTTAGTATTTATAGCTAAAAAATAATCATCTCGTGTCTTTCACAGAGTGGTACTGGGAGTGTGTTCTGAAGCAGGTGTTCTATAAGATGGTGGCCGTGCTCCTGTGCCTCCTCTCCGTCACCGTGGTCTGGTCCGAGTGCACGTTTTTCAGCACCAAGCCAGTGCTCTCCCTCTTCGCCGTCTTTGTACAAACGGCAGAAAAACATTACAACTACATCTGTATTGAGGCAGGTGCAGCGTTCAGCTTAAAAGATCCCGAAACAAACGTAGAGATTCGTGTGTATAATGTTTTTTTTTTTTGTTCTCTGCAGATGGTGTGCTTTGTTGGCATCCTCTTCCTCTGTGTCTGTGTTTACTCCACCGTCTTCAGCATCAGATTTTTTAACTACTATTACCTGGTCCCGCACCATCAGACCGACTCCTACAGCCTGCTGTTCAGTGGCATGTAAGTACCACTGTCGATTTCAATACAGTACAATATTTTATCTGAGACAAAAGGCAAAGCTCGTGATTTATGTTCCTGCTCTCGCCTATGGTCCCTGGTTCAGTCTGGTTCAGTCCTGGTTCAGTCCTGGTTCAGTCCTGGTTCAGTCCTGGTTTAGTCCTGGTTTAGTCCTGGTTCAGTCCTGGTTCAGTCCTGGTTTTATTCCTGGTTTAGTCCTGTTCACTTCTGGCTCAGTCCTGGTTTAGTCCTGGTTTAGTCCTGGTTCAGTCCTGGTTTTATTCCTGGTTTAGTCCTGTTCACTTCTGGCTCAGTCCTGGTTTAGTCCTGGTTTAGATTGCTGGTCCTTCTCTCACCTGTGGTCCCAGGTTCACTCCTGGTTCAGTGCTGGTTCAGTCCTGGTTCAGTCCTGGTCATGAGCTTTGGTTAAAGGCTGAAAGGACAGGAAGTCAGACACTTGCTGTTAACTGAGTTTCCTCCTCAGAGTGACTGTCTCCCTTAGAGACGGGGTGAGGAGCATAGTCACGCAGGAGGAGCTCGGAGTAGAGCCGCTGCACCTCCATGTCGAGAGGAGCAGCTGAGGTTGCTCTGGGGAGGACAGGACACACTGGAGGGACTGTCTCTCTTGGCTGGCCTGGGAACGACTCGAAGAGCCGGCGGAAGTGTCTGGGGTGGTGGAAGTCTGGGCATCTCTGCTCAGCCCCAGATAAATCAGACGAAGATGGATTTTAATCTAAATCTTGTTCTTTCAGGTTGTTTTGCCGTTTGACGCCTCCTTTGTGCCTTAACTTCCTCGGCCTTATTCACATGGATTCATCGGTTTCACAGCAGATCATTCCAACATCCTACACGTCTGTGAGTTACGCTGAAGAATTTAAGAAAGCTTTTTATTTACATTTTCTGTCAAATATTGAGCTCAAGATGTTTTAAAATTTGGATTCAGTTGAGATTTTAGACACGCCCAGACTCAAATATGAACTGCTAAACTAATACAAGAATCACAGGCATTTCTGAACATATTAGAGATTTAAATGACTGGATTATACAAACATGAACCAGGTCTTATTCAGTTTTTCAGGAGGACATTGTGTTATTTCAATAATCCAATAAGCATTACATTTTTAATTGTATTTATTTATCCCTAGGTCATGGGTTCGATGAGTCTGCTGTCCTTCATTTCTAACGGGTTCTACATTTACTACCCCATGCTCATTCTGTTACTCTGCTTTGCCACGTATTACAAGTAAGTCATTCATCTTTGAAAACCTCAGCGGCAACCAAGCAAAAACCACAAACACGATATCATGTTTCTATGTCTGTAGTTTCGGTTCTCGCTGTTTGAATCTCCTGGGCTTCCATCAGTACATTTCAGACGATGAAATTACGTCTGATCTTGTGGATGAAGGAAAAGACCTTATAAGAAGAGGTAAACACTTGATGATTATAGTTTAATAATTTAAAGGTCCCATATTACAATATTTTCTGATCTATGTTAAAATGCTTTAATACCTGGAGTTTAAATGTTTCATTCACACAAGTTTAACTCACAAATCCTGCACTTTTAGGCTGAATTCTTCTCTCAAACATCTTATGTTAACTTGAAAACTACCACTTCATGACATCACAAGGTGGAACAGAGCATTTTGAGCTTTGGAGATGTACACAGATTAAAACGTGTAATGTGCATGAAACAAACCACAACTCCACGTCTGTTTTTGAGGAGGCAACAGCATTATAACATGGCTTAAAACTCACAAGAATCAATTTTGTGTAATATAGGACCTTTAATTAATTTAATGACTGTAAATGGAAACAACTTTTTATTATTTTAATGTCTCTGTACAATGTCCCTTCACATAAAGACTAAACTAAAAATATTTTCTTTCAGTTGGGTGACGATTTCTGTCTATCTCGTGATATAGAATATACTTAATATTATTCACAAATAAGAGTTTGTTTCCTTTTTTTATTATGGTAATGCAGTTTTTTCTTGGTCAGTTTATATTAGTATTTAGTGCATATACAAGAAAACAAATCGTTTTTTATTAATCGAATATCCATGACCCAAACAGAGAGGGCACAAGTTCCTGATGTGACATGCAAACTTTTGAGTGTTTTCTTTTGCAGAGAGAAGAAAAAAACAGAAAATGGAGGGAGACAATCGTGGAGCGGTGAGACTTTTAACAAACTTTCTTTTACTGATGCTGAAAACATGTTACAAATGAGTTTTATTTCTGTGTTTTAGACGTGGAGGGAGCGTTACGCAGAGGACAGAAACGGAGCCACTACAGCTGGAAAGATTAAAAACTCTGGTATGGATTATAATGAAGATCACAATTTGTATTTGTTTCTGGTTGTACAAAAAAGAAAATAGCTGAAGTATTTTTTACATTTGAGCAGACATAGGTACAATAGCCAAGGATTTTCTTCAAGTTAGAGTACTGTTACTTTAAAATAATATTATTCAAGTACAATTACAAAGTAGTAGTCCAAGAAATTACTTAAATAAGAGTAAAAAACTTCATCTGATGTATAATTTGTATGAGTTAATGCAACTGGAAGAACAAAAAACATTAAATAATGAACAAAATCTTTTTTTTTTTTCAAAGTATGCGACAAACTAAATCAGGAGACATCAAACTAAGGCCACACCCCTTTGACCGGCCCGCAGCCCCTCGGCCCCCCACCAGTTGAATATATTGAACATACATATTTAAATTATTATATGATGTATTTACATTTGCTGCCAAATTTTCATCACCTGACAAACTCGAGATCAAACAGTGACAGTCAACGCACACGCAGAGTTCTGTAGTGCAGTTTAGGACAGCAAAATGGCGAGTGTTAAAAGTACGAAAACTTCACAGAGAGTGCCGAGTTTTCAAAGAACAGTGGACGACCAGTTATTTTTTTGTTGTGAGGAGTGTGCAGTTTGTCTGATATGTAATGTGGCCGCCGTTTTCAAAGAATATAATCTGCGCTGTCAGGGTCAAACAATTCTGTTATACCGCCGACCTGACTCCGTCCCTGATCACAGTCAGGAGCTATAAAGTTTGGTGACCCCTGAACAAAATCATGGCCTATTGGCATCACCTACTTGTCTTCACTTAGACAGTTCAGTTTAATGCCATATGGTGGGAGACATCAGGCAAAGTACCGTATTTTCCGCACTATTAGGCGCTCTGGATTATAAGACGCACTGTCATTAAATGGTCTATTTTCGAACTTTTTTCACAAATAAACCGCACCGGACTTTAAACGAAACACAACAGTTGGATGGGTCAGTGGGACTTTGTTTGTTGCTTTGTTCACGGTGGGACTCGGCGTGTTGCAGTGACTCAGTTGTTCAGTTGTGTCTAGAAGTGGCACATTGCACTCGCTTTTTCGCTTCGTTCCTCCGTTCCGTTCCTCGTTGGCGTGGAGTGATGAGTGTGTCTGTGGGTGTGTTTGGCTGTGCGGTCGCTGTCTGCTCCGTGTGTGTTTGCGTGCGCTGCGGGTGGTGCGGCTTTGTAGTTTACTGAAGTCGTGCTGGGACACCTGAATGGATTCGTGTATGGGGCGCTCTGGATTGCGAGGCGAGCGGTCGTTTTTTGATGGGCTTAGAGCAGGCATGTCCAAACTATGGCCCGGGGGCCAAATGTGGCCCTCAGACAATTTTTTCTTGGCCCTCAGACTTCCAGGTGAATTGGCCCAAATGAACTTGCATCAATTAAAAAATATTTTTTTACTTTTACTTAAAGTTTTTTGAAAATCTACCTTATATTTCATGTTTAGTGTGTGGTTTTAAGGATTTTAGCATGAATAAAGACTGATGGTTCATTCTAACGTGTTAAACATGCACATATTTCAATTATTCACTGTATTTAGCACCAGTCTACGGCCGTCGATCGGCCCTCTGCTTCGTCTGTGTTTAGATATGTGGCCCTTGATGAAAAAAGTTTGGACACCCCGGCTTAGAGGCTTAAGAGTGCGTCTAATAGCCTGGAAAATATGGTGGTAACATTTCCATGGAAACAGGATGGTTGCGGATCTTCCTCCAGAAAAGTTACACCATGCACCTTTAATCAGTTAGTTGTTTAGAGTGTGCAAGGCCCACGAATATGCTATTATTTTATTTATTTTTTTTACTAAATGTTACTCAGTGCTTTAGGACATCCTGGTAGAGTGTATTTACTTACAAAAGATTTTGCTTTTTAATGCCATACAGTGAAACATTCCAGACAACGTAGTAACATCACCATGGAGAAAAGCGTTTCACAGACCCTCCACCAGAAAAGTTACACAATGCGCAAAAATCAGATAATGAACAGATTTGAGTGCGTTTGTAAACACACCGATGGCTAAAATTTCTTTTTCAGCCAAACTTTTCAACTTTCTCACCTTCAGTATAATTTGGAACAGTTAAATATCCTCCATTCACACATATAACGTAACCTCTTCTTTGGTTTTCTATTTTCAGTTGTTCAGTTCACCAAGAGAGATCCTGTGTTAGAAGAGCAGTCTGTGGGTTTATTACAGGATTGCATTGAGGATTCACCAGACACAAGGTATGACGTTATAATTTTACAGCTAAATATTATAATGTCCATTCATTATTAAAAGCTTTTCTCTAATTGTCATTTCAGATCCTCACCAGGAAGTTACCGGTCCATTTCCCATTCCAGAGTAAACATCTTTGACGATATTTAACTGGATTTAAAGGGCCGTATTGTGCTGTTTTTAGTTCAGTGTCATAATGTTGTTTCCTTCTCCAAAACATACCTGACGTCAGAGTCCTGCACCGGGTCGGGTACTCACAGGTACGGGCAAATAGTCGCTGAAAAGGGCGGGTTTTAACGTTCTGGAATTTTTCGAGCGGGTAGGCGGGCGGGTAGTAATTACATACAGGCAGGTCAGGACTAAACCAGGACTACACCAGGACTAAACCAGGTCTAAACGAGGACTGAACCAGGTCTAAACCAGGATTAAATTAGGACTAAACCAGGACTAAACCAAGTCTAAACCAGGTCTAAACCAGCATTAAACTTGGAATAAACCAGGTCTAAACCAGGACTGAATGAGGTCTAAACCAGGATTAAACTAGGTCTAAACCAGGTCTAAACAAGGACTGAACCAGGTCTAAATCAGGATTAAACTAGGACAAAACCAGGACTAAACCAGGTCTAAACCAAAAATGGACCCGTGCAGGACAGAGTTACTCAAACATGTGAATGAAACAAAACACAACTCCCGGTGTGTTTTTGAGGAGAAAACAACATTATAACATGACTCAAAGCTCACAAGAGTCAGACCTTTAATGCTTTACCGCATGTTCTCTGGATATCATGACATTTCATCCAACCAGGAATTTCTTGGGACATTGTCAAAATATTTATAGTAGAATGTTTTTGTTTGTAATGTTTTTGAAAATGTTAAATTATGAATACACAAAAACAGACACGACAACTCCAACCGTTTACTCCAGTATCCTTAATCATTTCTTTAAGTTAATATGTTGTAGTTTTGTTAATCATCTGTACTGTAATGACTGTGATAGTGAATGTACTGGTAACCCCTTAATAATAACTACAACTTATTTTGCCTTAAAGCTGCACTGCGTAACATTCCGAGTGGAAGTTCCGCTGTCTGATGTCTCCATGGAGATGTTATTGTTTTGTCTAGAATGTTCAACAGCATAGATTATAGAAAAAACAAAAAGGTAGAATGTTCTCTTGGAAATTGGATCAAAACTTTGGACACAACGAAATCCAGGCGCTCCAGAAAAGTAAAAGTTGCATACGGAAAAGTATCGTTAAAAGGCTTTTATTTAAATGGCCAAAAAAAATAAACAGAGGCCTATTAACGATACTTTTCCTTGTGCGACTTTTACTTCTTTGGAGTGCTTGGTTTTCATTGTGTTTAAAGCAGGATTGTCCAAACTTTTTTCATCAAGAGCCACATATTTAAACACAGACGAAGCAGATGGCTGATCAAGGGCTGTAGACTGGTGCTCAATACATTGAATAATTTAAATATGTGCATGTTTAACACGTTAGAACATTATTCACGCTAGCATCCTTAAAACCTCACACTAAAAATTAAATATCGGCTTTATCCAGGTAGATTTTCAAAAATCTTGCAATAAAAATTACATTTTTCATTGATGCAAGGTAATTTGGGCCAATTCTCCTGGAAGCCTGAGGGCCAAAAAATTTGTCTAAAGGCCGCATTTGGCCCACGGGCCATAGTTTGGACATGCCTGGTCTAAAGCATAGATTACATGAAACAGAAAAAGCACACCAAAGTTCTTAGTTCTTAGAGGTGCAAATGCAATAGCCTGATTCATCAGCCGGTTTCACTTCGTAAAAACCGTGTGACCTCGCAGCGTTAGAATTTGTTTGCTTGACAGTAGGCGGGTACTTTTTTCTTTAACCAATTACTGCTATTTGGTCGTGACGTATGTAATGCACTGCTAACGGGGCTAACTGGTATATTAAGCTTTTCCCAAATCCCATAGGAAGAAGGGAAATAACGTTTTTCCCCAGCTCTCGACATAAACATCTCAGGTTGAGCGGTCAGATCCACTGACCCACAGGTTGGCTGGTGTGATTCCAGCTCCCACAGATGAATGCTGTCGTTGTGTCCTTGGGCAAGACACTTAACCCACCTTGCCCACAGTGTCTGTGTACACTGGTGTGTGAATGGGTGAGTGGTTCCTTGTTGTAAAGCGCTTTGAGTGCCTTGAAGGTGGAAAAGCGCTATAGAAAAATGTGACCATTTACCATAAAATTCACCAAACATTCTCTTTGTTCCGGCTTTAAATCCTCGATCTCGGGAATCTTTGCCAACACAAAATGTATGGCTCTTCACTGATTGGAACTCGTTCTTCCGGGTTTTTGCAAACCGTCTAGTGTATTCCGATTCCTGACCTAGTCGCTGGAGAGAAATAAAATTGAGCAAAGGCACTAGGTGGTGCCAGCCTGACTTCAAATGCAAGGAACAGCAAAATAAAAGTGAAAAAATGCATAGCACACAAAATGGTCACCAGGCCAGGTGCTCATATATGCTCTGTCTTATATGAGCACCTGCGCTGGGAACCATTTTATGTACTGTGATCCAAAGTAAGAATAAAAGCTTTTGGACATTGGCCATCTGAGTGTGCTATGCATTTTTCACTATTATAAAGCACAGATTACACCTCTGTATCACAAGGGATACAAGCAGGCTACAGCACTACACTACATTACAGGTCAGATCTGTGGAGAGTCGCCCCTGTTCACAGAAGGAATTATTATTATATTTTTGAGCAACAGAAACACTCGTAATAAATAAATGCTAGATGGAAATGTTTAAAGTCATACCATGTAACATTCCGGGCTAAGCCATAACATCTCCATGGTGACAAGTGGTTGCGGACTCTCCACCAGAAAAAAGTCCCACAGTGCATCTTTAATAAAGTACAAGACATATTTCATAATGTACAAATAGTTTAGGAATGATTCAGGCTTTATAACTTCTGGGTTAGGTTAGGAGTTACAGGATTCAGTAGTTGTTAAACTTGAGTCATATAATTAACTATTTGTTCTTTATTAAAGGTGCATTGTGTAACTTTTCTATGTCTTTTCATGGAGACCAACCCAGACCAAGATCTGTGCAGAGGCGACGCCGCTCACAGTCAGAATGTCTGTTTTTCGATGTATTTTCGAGCTGTAAAACAACCTGTAATTGAATAAAAGTAAGGTAGAACCGTTTAAAGTCACACTGTGGAACATTCCAGGCAGAGCAATGATTTCTCCAGCAGGTGAAATGTTATACAGTGCACCTTTAAGACTGTAAATAGTTATCGAAATGTTACCGATGCATTGAAATCGTGTGTAGTTTTTTTTTTCTCCACCTTCCAATTGTGCCTAAAATTCATAAATTGCAAACATTTTGACTCGTACTTTGTGAACATCTTTGTATGTAATTTATTATTAAAATGCAGGACAATTTCAAGCACTTGTTGTCATTTAATTACTGTGCATCATGTAATATTCTCCACTGTTAAAATCAAACTTCTGTATTTGCAATTTCATTATCAATATAAAATAATCAGTGGAACATTTAGCACTTCTTTTTACACTTGCATTCATCAAAAGTACATATTTTAGTCAATTAAAATGTATTAATTATCAGACTTACCGTGCGTAAAGTAACTCTAACTATTAATATCAAGCATCTATATTTGTATTTCTATTATAACATAATAATTATCAGTTTTTTTTACACTTGCACATGTAAAAAAGTTTAAGTTTCAAACATGTTTAGACCTTCATTTTGTTGAAATTGTGTTTAAAGTATCCAATAATGTGCTTATTTTGTGTAAATTGTAACTTTTGGGTAGAATTCTTCCCGGTGCATTTAGAACAGGGGTGGGAAATTATTTTTTCATTGAGGCCACATGAGAAACAGAAAATATTGTGGAGAGCCAAAATGTTTAACTCAGTTCTGCATAATATTAATTGTATTTATTTATTTAAAAAATAATAATAATGAATAAATATCATTGTTTTGACAAGCTTGTAAGAGTTTATGTTATGACTAAGCACTGAAAAAGTGAAGTTGTCTTACAAAAAATGTTATTTAAAAAACACCTGTAAAATAAAAGCCATGCATTTTTTGTCCATGCATGAGGTAAAATTATAAAATATGTTTATTTTGTAATTCCAAATGAGCTTAAACAGGACAGTCAGATTCAATCAAATGGCCCGGGAGCTGTCGAATGCCCAGGTCTGGTTTAGAACTCTACTGCCTGTAATTTTACGACATATTTTTTTACACTTTTCTTCGCAAACTCCTTCTTGATTTGTGTAAAACTATAATTTATAAAGTTAAATTAAAAAGAAAGTAAAGAGAAACATAGAGAAGCACACAAACCTTTCAATATATGTTCATTAATTTAACTCTTTACCATGGACTGTATAAAAAAGTACATACATATACATTCATACCATACTCCCTACAACTGTACAACAACTCACCCTTATGTAACAGATAAAACTCCCTACAACTGTACAACAACTCATCCTTATATAACAGATAATACTCCCTACAACTGTACAACAACTCACCCTTATGTAACAGATAATACTCCTTACAACAGTACAATAACTCACCCTTATGTAACAGATAATACTCCCTACAACTGTACAACAACTCACCCTTGTATAACAGATAATACTCCCTACAACTGTACAACAACTCACCCTTATGTAACAGATAATACTCCCTACAACAGTACAATAACTCACCCTTATGTAACGGATAATACTCCCTACAACTGTACAATAACTCACCCTTATGTAACGGATAACCCTATGTCCTGTCAATCATCATGTCATTGTTGCACTGTCTTCTTATGACCTCTTGTATAAATTATTATTATTATTATTATTGTTGTTGTTGTTGTAGTTGTTATTATTTCTTGCTACTTATTTAGAATCTATTATTATCATTTTATATTTTTACTTTTGTTATATTATATTGTGACGTGTGAACTACTGTTTCTAATCAATAAAGTTTGCCTAATAATGATACACACATAGATTATAATACAAAGACTGTATTTAAAAAAAAAATAATAATAATAATAAAAAATAAAATCATTACTGTCTACTCTCTTTACACGGTTTATCAATTGGAGTGTCTTTTTTCCTACCGCACGTAAAGGCAACACCCGTAGAAGAGAACTGCCACAACACAAGAGACCGCGGCTGCACCTCGGGGTAATAATCCATTTAAAACCTTTTATCACTCTCTTATATTTACTTTCAACGCTCTAAATACTACACCTTTTATTGTTAACCATGTGCACGACTTTTGCCCTGCTAGCCCACCGATTTGGTGCAAAACGTACGTAAAATATAACACGTAAAAGCCTCTTTTTGCTAACCATTAACATCTTAGCATTAGCTTCAAACGTAGCGTCGTTGTTAGCATATTGAACCAAAATGGACAATAACAAACTACCAAATGTGCTTGAGTAGTTTAAAAATCTTCGAGTTATACGTGTATATCCGTAGATTTTGTTGGATTAGTTTCAAGGCATTATTTACAGGATTAATTCATTGTTTTCTTGAGGTGATTTTCATTCAGTGCAAATCTACAAGGCAAAATACTAGAGTTAAATATAAAAAAAAATGTAACAATATGAGGGCTTTTCAGAGATTATAACACTTGAATGGGCTCTTGTATTTCCCAAAACCTTTTATTATGGTTGAGTGCGATAACGCAGTAGTCTGTGGTCAGTAGGGTTTGCGATGTGAGGCATGCAAATGTGTCAATATATAAATTTTGCGGTGAAACTGAGATTATACAAGACTGACAGGGTTTATACAGCATGATTTAAGACTGTAATTTATTAAAGACTAACAAATGTAATTACTATAGCATTACAATTTCAATAAGGTTGTCAAAAGCATGGGAAATCAGATGTTAATTAATACTTAAACTGGTTTCGAAACTGATATTGATTTGAGCAAATATAGTAAAAAAAAAAATCCAATGAACCTTTCCTGAAGAGTTTTAGAATGATCTTAACCTACCTGGATGAATTTTGGTATTGTGATTCATGACAAGAACACTATAGAAATGATCAGCTTCAACATTTGTGTATTTTTGGTTTTGGGACAATTCTTATGGAAATACTAATTAATCATTAAACTGTCCATGTGGTGCTGCTTTCTGATCGGTTATAATGTTGTGTCCTATTCAAAAACACACCTGGAGTTGTGTTTTGTATATTTAACCCATAAATTCTGGCTATAGGAGGTGCTTCACTGTGTTTTTAAACTCTATACACCTTCACTAGAATAATTTAGATAATTTCAGACCTGGAATTGCCAATCTCTAGTGAACAAAAGGTAGCAGGTAACTTGAAAACTACTTCTTCATTACATCACAAGGTGGAATGGAGCATTTTGAGCTTTGGAGATGTAGGTCACATTTATATGATGACTGTCTGAACAGAAGATGCAAAAGGGGCGTCTTCACTTTTTATTTCACGTTTAGACGAGTGTAAAATCTGCGTGCATACGGTGACGCAAAAGTGTGTGAAATTTGATTGGGTATGCATGCCATCTGACATGTTTGTTTCTGTGTACTGTATGTATGTGACGTAAATGTGTACTCGACCTGAGCAGATCTGACCAGAGTTTTGCATCTTGGGCAGTGTAAACGGAAATGTTACAGCGGAGCATTTTCAACTTTTCCACTCTGGAGGGTGGTTTCAGATTTTTGCATTTTTCAGCCTCAAAAACGCCGTCACCATTTAAGCGAATATTTGTTGTTTTTACCTGCAGGCGTTCTCATGTAAACAGGACTTTAGACAGACTAATAATAAAGTAATAAAGGATTACTCAAACATGTTAATGAAACAAAACTCCACTATATTTTTGAGGAGGTAACAACATTTTAAGGCAAGGCAAGGCAAGGCAAGTTTATTTGTATAGCACAATTCGTACACAAAGTAATTCAAAGTGCTTTACAGAATAAGAAATACATTAAAATCATAATAAAAACAAATCAAAACATAAATAATCATGAAGATTAAAATTTAAAAAGAGAGACATAAATTGGAGAGAAGAGTGCGGAATGAAAACCTTTCAGTTATATGCACAGTTAAACAGAAATGTTTTGAGCCTGGATTTAAACAGCGTCACAGAAGAGTCTGTCTCACATGTTCAGGAAGACTATTCCAGGTTTTAGCTGCATGAACCTGAAACACTGACTCCCCTTGTTTAGTCCTGACTCTGGGCACCAGCAGGAGGCCGGTCCCTGAGCTCCTCAGAGTGCGAGATGGTTCATATGACACTAACATGTCACAGATGTACTTTGGTGCTCGGCCATGGAGAGACTTGTACACAAGCAGAGCTGCTTTAAAGTCTATTCTCTGAGGCACAGGAAGCCAGTGCAGAGACCTGAGCACAGTACTTATGTGCTCGTACTTCCTAGTTCGAGTAAGGACCCGAGCTGCAGCATTCTGGATGTTCTGCAGCTGTCTCACAGCTCGTTTGGAGAGACCAGTGAGCAGACCATTACAGTAGTCTAACCTACTGGAGATAAACGCATGGATAAGTTTCTCCAAGTCTGATTTAGACAGTAAACCTTTGATTTTTGCTATGTTTTTTAGATGGTAAAAGGCTGCAGATGTTATTGATTTGATGTGGCTGTTAAAGTTCAAGTCTGATTCCATTATTACCCCTAGATTTCTTGCCTGATTTGAAGGTTTTAGAGAGAGAGACTGGAGGTGACTGCTGACACTGTCCCTTTGTTTCTGTGGACCAAAGACTATGACTTCAGTCTTGTCAGAGTTTAGCTGGAGAAAGTTGTTTTGCATCCACACACTGATCTGTTGGATGCAGTGACCAAGTGAGTCCACTGGTCCATAGTCTCCTGCTGCCAGAGAGACATAGATCTGAGTGTCATCTGCATAATTGTGGTAGGACACATTATTGCTGCTTATTAACTGGCCTAATGGCAGCATGTAGAGATTGAACAACAGGGGGCCCAGGATTGACCCCTGAGGCACCCCACAGGTCAGGGCCATGTGATCTGAGACACAGTTTCCAATTTCAACAAAATACTTCCTGTCTTCTAGATAGGACTTGAACCAGTTTAGTACAGTACCAGAGATGCCCACCCAGTCCTCTAGTCTCTGTAAGAGGATCCCATGATCGACAGTGTCAAAAGCAGCACTCAGATCTAACAGGATCAAGACTGAGACTTTGCCTGCATCAGTGTTCAGGCGGATGTCATTTGTCACCTTGATAAGAGCAGTCTCAGTGCTGTGGTGGGCTCTAAAACCTGACTGGAAAACATCAAAGGAGTTGTTCATTTGGAGAAAGTTCGTAAGCTGTTGGTAAACAGCTTTTTCAAGGACAACGGCAGATTTGAGATGGGTCGGAAATTGTTCAGTACTGTGGCATCAAGACTGCTCTTCTTTAGGAGAGGCTTAATGACCGCAGTTTTCAACGCGTTTGGGAATGTTCCAGATTGAAGTGACATGTTCACTTTGTGAATGAGTGGTGAAAGTAAACTGTTGAGGACGGACTTTAGAAATCTAGTGGGTAACATGTCCAGGCAGCAAGTAGATGAACTCAGACAGGTAACGATCTCTTAAACAGTTTTGTCAGTTACAGGTGCAAAGTGATTCAGCTCTAAGTGTCTCTGTGGCTGCAGCTTGTTATTTGTGTTGTGGAATTGATGGCATTTTTGATGCCCTGAACTTTGTCATTAAAGAAAACTGCAAACTCATTACATTTAGATGTGGAAATTAGTTCCATTAGTTGGCAGTGGAGCTGGAGGGTTTGTTAATCTGTTCACTGTTGCAAACAGGACACGAGAGTTGTTACTGCAATTACCAATAATGTCCGAAAAATACTTCTCTCTTGTTTTACTCAAAGTGTAGTTGTACGTATGCATTGTTCCTCTGTAAATCTCATAATGAACCTGGAGGTTTTAACCTTTATCGGGGTGATGGCATGCAGAACATTCAAAACACTCAAAGTCACAGAGTTCAACACATCATCAACATTAGAACATGAGGCAATTTCAAAAGGTTAAAATGGTTAAAGATAAGCAAAAAGCTCCGTGGAGGAATGATGAATGAGAAAAGGGAGTGCCGGAAGGCTGAGCGGAAATGGCGCAAGTCAAACCTCCAGGTTCATTATGAGATTTACAGAAGATTTATGTGTCTTCTTCGAACAACTGTAACATGTTTAACAGCTCACAAGAGTCAGTTTTTTAATATAGGACCTTTTAAAGAAAACTGACTGTATGTTCCCATCAGATAAGATTATGAATATTTGTCCCACAAAGGTAAATTGCAGTGTTTCAACAGTAGCCAAACAAGACAAGTGGTAAAATAAAATTAAAAATATGAGTAATACACGCTTTATGACTAAATAAAAATGTTTATAGACGATGGACTTTGAAATCAAACTTAATAAACTGTCATTGTTCCCTTATCACATTGTCATTTATGAGAACCACTTTGACTTTTTAAGACTGGATAAAGTATAAAAAGTGTACATGTTAAAACTCATATCGAAACTAGATACTCATTCAGAAAAGTTACATTGACAGGAAGGCTTGAGGCTTTCCTGAATAGATTTAGAATGATTTTGAGCTGTATCAGAGAAAGTATAAGAGCACATAGACAAGTATACGCACATGGACCACTGAGGGATTACACAGATATAATCTACACGGTAATACAAAAAAGTACTATTATTTAATGTAAAAAATCGCATTCTATTGTATAAAGAAAGGGTGTTTTGTTTTTTTTTGTAAACATTGTGGTATTGGTATCGAGTATTGTGTCTCTTCCTTAGTACTGAAATCAAGTTTGAAATTTTACGATCATGACGACAGCGCTGCTTTTTCGTTTCAGTTAGTGGAGAGCCATGGGAGGCCTTGGGAACGGTCGTCGTGGGGGCAGGTCCCCCCCTTTGTTGATCGCTGCTCTCATCGCCTGCATTTTGGTCTTGGGTTTTAACTACTGGGTCTCCAGCTCCCGGAACCTGGAGCTACAGGTCAGTAAATCCACACATGAAAACTACCATAACACTGGTTTAATGTGCTTGTTTATGGGCCCGGTCAAGCAGAAGTAAACAGCAAGGCCAAAAATTCAAGTTAATGCATCTGATATAAAAATGTATTGAACAGATACATATGTACTCTAGTTTATGAAACTGTTTACCTTTTTTCTGTACCATTTTTGGTTCTAAAGTTACATACGTTTTAAACAGACCATGTATGAACATGGAACAAAAATTATTTCCCAAATTTCAAAGACCTGCAAATCATGTAAATAAATGGATGTATTTCATCATATCTTGTGTTATTCGATCTTTGAACTGTTGATGAAGGTACAGGATTTAAAAAAAAAAATTATGTAAAATGATAAAAAAATTGCTTGGAAGGACTGACATATTTTATAGAAATAGTTTCCTTTCATTTTGAAGTAATATTAAAGTATTTGGAAGAAAAAAAGCTGACAAATTATGTAAAATCATGCACCTTCTACTTGCTTGCACAATTTTCCCTCTGTTACTTTTCCCTCCGTTACCATGACATTTCTTAATAAAAAAAATCTCATTACTCAAAAAGTAAGAGGTTTTTCAACCTAATCTTGTACCATATGGTAGAAAACTATATGAAGCAAATATTCAAACCAGTTTGTTAAGGATATGTAAGTGAGAACCAAGAGTTATCACTGTTTGTATTTATTGTCCAAAAAGTGCTGCATATTTCATTCCCTCCGTTACCGACATGAGTTTTAAAATTTTTGGTCAACAACTTGAAAGAATATCACAGGTTTAACTTTACCCTGTTGGAGTGTTAACTCTTTCCTACATTCTGATACATTACTTATTTCAATAGTCCCTCTAGTTTCTGAATAAGAGCTATTTGAGTATAAAAATCTGCCCGTTTCCCTCCATTACCGCTTGACCGGACCCTTATACCAACTTGAAACTTTTAATGCAGATTACTGATTAAATAAACAATTGAAAGTGTAAGATAGTGGGGGACGGACAGTATATTACTATTATTTACAATGCAATATTTTGGATTGGATTCTTGGTTCTTTTTGGTGACTTTTGTTGATCTTAATTAGAATCTAAGTACACAAAATATTACTGATTAAGATATACAGTAGTTTTGTTTACATTTTGTTGTATATTTTAAATCTTGACTGAGTCCCTTCACTTTGTGCTCACCAGACAAAGTTATACGAGCTGGAGGGGCAGGTGCGGCGTGGGGCAGCGGAGCGAGGAGTGGTGGAAATGAAGAAAACAGAATTCCAAGAAGAAATCCAACGACAGAAAGAGCAGATCAGTCACATCGAAAACCTGTACAAGAAACAGCTAGAAGGAGCCCAAAGCACCTGCAGCCGAGAGAAGGTACTTAAGGCTGTGTGCAGCTTTGTCCTGGTTTAGACCTGGTGTGGTTCTGCTGTGGTTCTGCTGTGGCCCCGGTGTGGTCCTGGTTTTACTGGGTGTAGACCCTAGTCTTTGTTTGGTTGTGGTGTAGGCCTGGTTTGTTCCTGGTTTGGTCGTGGTGTAGTCCTGGTGTACTTTTTGTATAGTTGTGATGTGGTCCTGGTGTGGTCATGGCTTTACTTGGTGTAATCTTGTTGTAGTCCTGGTTTAGTCCTGGAGTAGCCCTGGAGTAGCCCTGGAGTAGTCTTTGCTTCGTCGTGGTGTAGTCCTGCTGTAGTCCTGGACTAGTCTTTGCTTGGTTGTCGTGTAGTCCAGGAGTAGTTTGGGAGTAGTCCTGGTGTAGTCCTGATGTAGTCCTGATGTAGTCCTGGTGTAGTCTTGTTTGGTCTTGGTGTAGTCCGGGTGTAGTCCAGGAGTAGTTTGGGAGTAGTCCTGGTGTAGTCCTGATGTAGTCCTGGTGTAGTCTTGTTTGGTCTTGGTGTAGTCCGGGTGTAGTCCAGGAGTAGTTTGGGAGTAGTCCTGGTGTAGTCCTGATGTAGTCCTGGTGTAGTCTTGTTTGGTCTTGGTGTAGTCCGGGTGTAGTCCAGGAGTAGTTTGGGAGTACTTTGGGAGTAGTCCTGGAGTAGTCTTTGGTCCTGGTGTAGTCCTGGTGTAGTCTTTGTGGTCCGGGTGTAGTCCGGTGTAGTCCGGGTGTAGTCCGGGTGTAGTCTGGGTGTAGTCTTTGTTTGGTCCTCGTGTAGCCCTGGTGTAGCCCTGCTCTTACTTGGTTTAGACCTGATGTAGACCTGGTTTGGTCCTGGTTTAGTCCTGTTTTATCCCTGGTATGCACTCTGAAACAAAAGGACTATTCTGGATTGGGTTGCATATGAACTGAAGCCAACTGAAAAAAAGTACTTCCTTCTTTTTTCGTTGAAGTGCAGCTTGAATCTGCTCACACCAACAACACACAACAGTAAAGGCCACATATTGTTTTATAACTGAAAATATATTTTGTTTTCAGGTTGTACTGCAACAAAACATTTCATCCAGTACAAAAACGATACAAGAACTCAAAGGTAAGAATTTTATCTAGATTTTTCTCATTGAAAGATACAATATTAATCATTGTAGTAGCATAATAATAATAAAGCACCTTCACCAAAGTGTATTAATACTACATTATTTATTTATTTATTTATTAGGTTCTACCACTAATCTTATAAGTGATACTTTGCAGCTGAGGTTATCAACATTTCTCTGCTCTGTCTGAGGCTCTGTTACTCAAATTAGACTTTAATCTGAGCTTTGTTTGGATACAATCTGACCATAAAGAACTAATAAGCAACCTCTGACATTAAATTAAATTACAGTTACATTACAGAAGCTTTAACCAACAGTTTTTCAGGTGTTTACTCATTTAATCAGACTAAAACCATAAACTCTCGTACTGATCACAGGCCCCTGAAAGTGTGTTGTTTATAGGGATGTAAAAATAACCAAAATATCGTGATATCGTATCGTCAAAAGTCTCGCAATAACATCGTGGGCTGTCACAATATATCAAAATTACAAGTTCCTTCGGTTAAATACATGGTTTTATAGTAGCAACAACTTATAAACATCGGGAACTACATATCCCATGATTCATTTCACTGCAGAAAACATTAAGAAATATGTTTTTTACTTGAATTCTTGGGATTATGACGGAAATAATTCACACCAAAATCTTGTCAAAGTATTTTAAAAGCGAAAAAGTGTCCCATCTACAATTATATTAGCCTCTCCAAAATATCGCAATAAATATCGTACACTTAAGTAATAAAATGTAATGCTTTATTTCTAAAACATTATATTATATTTATTTTACAGTTATTTAAGAAATGACTGTAAAATAAATAAGTAACAGAATATAACATAAAAAAAAAAATACAACAATCAACATTTAACAATTAGATAGACAGATTATTTATTGTCATTGTATGAAATACAACGAAACTTCGACAGAGCAAATCTGTAGCAGTAAAAATGAATAAATATCGACACATCCTCACATCCATACCAATAAAAAAACATTACAATAATCAGCATAAAACAAAAGACAAAAACATAAAGTAACACCCACAATAAACACAAAAACAACAAAAAACAGAAACAAAAACAAAACAGTTAGTTTTTCACTTCAGATTTCAGTCTAATTTCTAATCTTCAGAAAATGAGCATTTGGATCTGAATACTGATTTGATTCGGAGTTACCTTTCAGAAATAAAACAAGCAGAACATTTTCCAATATTGTTATGCTCTTGCCCTGTTTTTGCTGTGAACTTTTCTGTGTATTTTAGGTCAGTTAAATCAGCTGAATGATAACGTGGGGCAGTTACAGAAGGAGCTGGAGAGCTGTCGGGGCACCATCCAAACTCTCAACAACAAACTCACCTACGACATGTAAGTTTCACTGTGGATAAGACTCAACTGCACACGAGAAGTTTTCATGTTTTTCTAAGTATTTTGATTTATGTATTTATTTTGGGCAAGTAAGAAATGTACATTGAAACACATAACCTTAATGAAATCATAGCAGAAATAACAACAACAACAAAATTCATAAAAATAAACAGTTGGCCCAAAAAGGAGTGGGAAGAAGAAAACTTATTTAATCACACCTCCCTCTTCTAATCTAACACAATGAGCTTTCTTTTGAATTTTTCAGACGTTTTACAGTAAACTACCGTATTTTCTGGGCTATTAGACGCGCTCTTAAGCCTCCAACCCCATCAAAAAACGACAGCCACAATTCAGAGCGCCCTATACACGAATGCACTCGGGTGTCTCAGCACGACATCGTTAAACTACAAAGCCGCAGCGCACACAAACACACACGGAGCAGACAGCGACCGCACAGCGAAAAACACCCACAGACACACTCATCACTCCACGCCGACGAGGAACGGAACGGAGGAACGGAACGGAGGAACGAAACGGAGGAACGAACCGAAAAAGCGAGTGCAATGTGCCGCTTCTAGACACAACTTAACAACTGAGTCACTGTGAACACGCCAACAATCCAGCGGTCCCAGACAGCACCCTCCCTACACGCCACAACTGAACAAAGCCCAGAGTCACTGTAAACGCCACAAACAAAGTCCCACTGACCCATCCAACTGTTGTGTTTCGTTTGAAGTCCGGTGCGGTTTATTTGTGAAAAAAGTTCGAAAATAGACCATTTAATGACAGTGCGCCTTATAATCCAGAGCGCCTAATAGCCCGGAAAATACGGTATATGAACTATTTACAAGTGCGGACAAAGAGTCACTGTTATAGCTTGCAATAATACATAAGAATACCAACAATGTTAAGGAAAATTAAGATACTAACAATGGTAACAGACAGTATTACTTGGTTTGGTGAGATAGAACTCTGTCTGTAATAAAGATGAATCATGGTTTTCCATTTACAAGTGGCAGTTGGTGGTGAAAATAAGTTGAGAAGTAAAGTTCAAAAAAAAGGAAGGAAGTAGCTGTGAGTCCTAAAACAGTATCAACACTGAAAATCCCATCCAAAATGCAGACAATTTATGCACAAAGAGGGCAATTTTGTCAGTTTAAAATGGCATTAATTGTATGTATCGATATATCGTATTGTTTAAGATTTTGAACAAAATTAAAAAAATAAACACAAACTCACTTATTAGGACCCAAGATAATATGAAAAAATGACCCAAAGATGTAAAATCGACCATGTTTTAATGTGATGATACAGTGTCGATATTGCGAGCTGCTGTATATCTCCAAGAGTATTTTTTGGTATATTTTACACAATTTTACTGAAGTATTTTGTTACAGAGCTACAGTTTTGTTGCTTGTTTGGAGAAAAAGAAACTCGTTTATGCGACACATTTGACGTTTTCACAGTTTTGATGCTTAAAATGTTTGTGTTTCATCTGAACTTTGCACAAGAAGTAGTTTAACAAAGGCTTTAATATCACAGCCATGATTTAGCCTTTATTTTTTATTGAACCGTATCGAATTGTTTTGAAATATATCGTATCAATTCGAAAGTGCACTGTATCGAGATATGTATCGTATCGGCAACTTCTTAATGGTACCCAGCCCGAATTGTGTGGCATAACTTTGTTGTGGAAAAAAATGTGGCCTGCTCTGCTGCCAATATCCAACCAGAAAGTAAAAGGGAAGATTTTTAATATAACCTTAAATATCTTGATGTTATTTATGCTTTTGTGAAATAACTAGTCTAACCGACTTTTACATGAGCTGTATTTTTTGTTTTGTTTATAGGACTCACTGTAATGCACAAGTCCTGTCTCAGAAGGAGCTGTGTGACGAAAGAGTGGCAGCCGCGAAACTCGAGGCTCAGAAGAAAATAGAGAAACTGATTGCTTCATCACAGGTGAAGAAATTGTGCATTTAAACGGAAGTAGGCACGGAAATGTCACATGAGAGCAACAGTGAGAGGGGCTTTTGGTTGTGGAAGTAGATTTTACTCATGTCCTGCAGTAAAAATAGACATTTCACTTATTTTCTTTTAATCAGAGACCCATAAGTGAGATGTATTTACCTTCACATGTTTGAGCTGCTAACTGTGCACCATTGTAGCTCAGTATTCAGCTAAAATGTTTCACTAAAATGTCATGAGTTCAGATAAACAGTTTAAAACAGCTGAGTTGAGCTCTCAGTGGTTTAAAAAGGGAACTACTATCATAATTAAAAATAATTAAATCCTCATTCTCAGTTCATGGACAGACCATGCCTCACGTGAAAGTTCAGAATTAAGGTCAAAAGTATTGAATATCAGATACATATTAATATTAAAACTAGCAGATACTCATTTGAGCAGGTATAGATACTAGGGATGTAACAATAACTGAAATATTGTGATGTCGTATCGTCAAAGTTCTCACAATAATATCATGGACCATCACAATATATTAAATTACAAGTCTCTTTTGGTTAAATTAAGAGTTATGGTGCAGCAATAGCTATAAAAAAGAGGGGGAACTACATAGACCATGATCCTTTGCTCCATTTCAGTGCAGACTACAAGAAGAAATGACAATTCTAAGCACTTTTAAGTTCTTTGGATTAAGATGAAAAAGTAGCATATTCATATTTTTAGCTGTTTTGCCTCCACAAAATATCACAGTAAATATCGTACCGTGAGATGTATATCGTGAAAATCAAGACTATTCCTTAGTATTGTGATATTGCTTAGACTCTCCAGAATTCCCTCCCTGAGCTGCAGAGGCTGCACTAGCACTCATTCATGACTGTGGAGGGTTTATGTTGTAAACACAGAGGAGCTATTTTACTTTGAGGAACACTTTTGAGCTTATATAATTAGCGCTGACTGTCTTTTTTTTTTTCCTGCAGGCTAATAATGTTGATGCGGTTAAAGTGTCAAATGAAACTACGAAGATGTCTCCCGTGGAGCACACGCCGAGTCCCTCACAGCCCAAAGACCAGCCCAAAGACCAGCCCTCCGAACTGCTCAGCAACAACATCCTGGAGACTAACGGTACAACGCTGAATGAGACGTCAACTCAACATCTGTATTATCAAATAACCCAAATATTAAATGATATTAAGCTTGTGTATGTAGAATTCCTCTAGCCAGGCCTCTAGCCTCTAGCCTCGTGATTCCGCTCAATTTCATTTCTCTCCAGCGATTAGGTCAGGAATCAGAATACACTGGACAGTTTGCAAGAACCCCCAAAGTGCAAGTTTGGGCACCAGCCAATCAGCGAAGAGCCATATATTTTGAGTTGTCAACGATTCCAGAGATCGAGGATTTAAAGACAGAATAAAGAGAATGTTTGGTGAATTTTATCAAGGGGAAAGACATTAATGCCCTTCTTCCTTCGGGATTTGGAAAAAGCTTAATATACCAGTTAGCCCCGTTAGCGGTGCATTACATACGTCCTGACCAAATAACAGCGATTGGTTAAATGATAAAAAGTACCCGCCTACCGTCGAGCGAATGAATCCTAATGCTGCGAGGTCAGAGGGTTTGTACGAAGTGAAATGAAGTAAAACCGACTGATGAATCAGGCTAGAATTTCTCAGTCGCCCATTTAGAATCTAGAAACTGTAAACAAGTAGATGTGTTAGTTTCAGAATAGTTTCAGTGTAATTAGCTCCTCCCTGCTGACAGATATTAAGGCAGCTAGGATGAGCTGCGAAATGTTTTCGACCCAAATTGTTCAGTTGACAAATTGAATTTCTCCTTTGCTATTAAGTCCGTGCATATAATTTCATGTGAAGTATCTGTACTTAAAACAATATTTTGACATTTCCTAAATCATTTTAGAATGGTCTTGATCTATCGAGGAGGACAGACTTCAGTAAGTATTTCAGAACAAGCAAAAAACCTCATGGTTTTAACACAACAATTATTGTCTGTCCAACATGACGTTCTATTGTATAAAACAGGAAGGAGACGGTCACTCCTTATGTCCTGTTTTATGTGATGTCTGAAGATAAACAGGTCTTGGCCTTAGTACTAAGATGGGAGACCACTGGGAATACACAGTGGGACGTCAGTGGTCCTGGTTGCTGTGTCCTTAGACATGACACTTCACCCACCTTGCCTACTATGAAAGTGGTGTGTGAGTGATGGCTCAGATTGGCAGCCTCACTTTCGTCCCAGGGCAGCTGTGGCTACTGTAGTATCTTATCAAACCTTTGAGCAGGGATGTAACAATAACTGAAATATTGGGATATCGTATTGTCAAAATTTGCACAGTGATACCCTGGGGCTTTACAATATATCGAATCACAAGTTCCTTTGATTAAATGCATGGTTTTACAGCTGCAGTACTTAATAAACATGGGGAACTACAGATCCCATGATTCATTTCAGCACAGACAACGTGAAGAAATATGTTTTTTACTTGAATTCTTGAGATTATGATGGTAATAATTCACACCAAAATCTTGTCGAGGTATTTTAAAAGCAAAAAAGCGTCCTATCTACAATTATATCAGCCTCTCCAAAATATCGCAATAAATATTGTATCGTGATAATATCGTAACGTGAGATTTGGATATCGTTACATCTCTACCTCTGAGTGTGGAGTGAATGAATAATACAGAAAAATGTAAAGCGATTTTGAGTATCTGGAAAACACTACATAAGACTCATACAGTATAGGACTTTTTTTCTGGTACTGAAATTGAGTTTAAAATGTTTTTATTATGACTACTACAGCTTTGCGTGCATGTGTCACTCTTGTATCTAATCTATCTGACCCTCTGTAACGTTAGCGGGACATTCCGATCTCTAACTGTACTTTATTATCGTGAGTGTGGCTATTGTTAAAACCTGACCTTGTTTCATGCCTCTTCTCAAACTCCTGATAAAAACAACCGGAGAGACAAGTTGTTTATCTGCTTTGAGATAACACTGTGATATCTGTCAAGTTTTTGTCAAGATTATCAGGTTGGAATTGCGTTTATTCAGGTCACGATAAACATAAGCAACAAAAAAAAAAAAAATGTAACAGTTTTAGAAGCAAAGATAAGTCATTTCAGTTTGATCTATACTAAAATAAAGTGTTTTTTATTTGATGTCTGTCCCTAATTTTCACTCAAATCACGCAATAATAACTGTTCTCTGTTTTCTGTCTTTTAGAAGTAGCAGCGGGTAACTCATCAGACCAGGGCCTGTCCAAACAAGACCCTCTCGCTGTTCCGACCTCTTTAGCAGTGAAGCAGGACCTTCTTCCACCACCAGGGGGCGCTGAGAACATTAAACAACTGAACACGACAGACGACAAAGACATGGAGCTCATGGATACTAAAGATGAGTCTCACACAGAAGGTAAGGCTTTAAAAACATGTGACTGATCTTTAAATTGTCTCCATGGAAATGTAATTAGAGAGATGTTACTGCATTTCCTATATTTAATTACAAGTATTTTTACTGATCAGGGGCCTCATTTATAAACAACTGCACAGGAATTCTCCTAAGATAGTGCATACTGCTTGTTGCCACCAGAGGCATGTGCCACGCAAACTCCACATTTAAAATACCCTCCATGTGCACTCAAATGCACAGTCCAGGCTTTGTAGATCCCACCTGCATCTAGAATCTGCACACATGAACCCTCGTCACATCACGCCCTCTCCACATCTCCACCTCACCATAAAAAGAGCAAAGTGACTTGTGAATGAGATTTCCCTAAACATGAGCCGATAATCAGTGGGTTTGACCGAGACACGCCGGACAGAGAGGGAGGGGGACGCTCCACGCAGCACCACGTGGTCACGTCAAAGACTTAAACAAGGTTTAACAAATAAATGCAAAACTAAAAGTGACAACAACGACTCATCTTTAATAATTTTTCATAATATTTAGGCAGCACATCTTTAGCCAGGCTGGTACTACCTAGTGCCACTGCTCTATTTCATTTCTCTCCTGCGGCTAGGTCATGAATAAGAATGCACTAGACAGTTCGCAAAAAACCCAGAAGTGCGAGTTTGGGCACCAGCCAATCAGCGAAGAGCCATACATTTTGTGTTGGCATTGATTCCCGAGATCGAGGATTTAAAGCCAGAACAAAGAGAATGTTTGGTGAATTTTATCAAGGGGAAAGACGTTATTGCTCTTCTTCCTACGGGATTTGGGAAAAGCTTAATATACCAGTCAACTCCGTTAGCGGCGCATTACATACATCACGACCAAATAGCAGCGATTGGTTAAATTAAAAAAAGTACCTGCCTACTGTCGAGCAAACGAATTTTAACTCTGCAAGGTCAGACCTCACTTTGTGGAAACCGGTTGATGAATCAGGCTAGCATACCTTTGCAGATAAAGCCGAATAGTTTTTTTTTTTCGCAGTTTTCTTGAGTTTTATCACTATATTTTTAAGTCTGCTTGTGTGTATGTGGGTACTGGCCCTGTTTATGCATTTATACTAATAGATATGTGCATGTGGGGGTCTGAATGGTCAAAGCAGGCGGCTATGAGCATGTGCGAAAGATTCTGAAGCCCTCTACGCGAAAGTGAAAGGAGTGAGGGAGGGATATGTAGTCCAGCGGCCAGGGGACAAGCGCTTCAGCAGAAAGAATACAGATTTGGCATGTAACACATCAGACACAGCTCAGGCGCTGTTATTCTGCCAATAAAAGTCCACCCGAAATATCCAAACTCTGCCTACCTCTGTGAGTGCGCGGGCCTGGGTCAGGACGGGCACAGATATTATGTTTTTATGTCATTATTACCACCTGATCAAACATTTCCTCGAACTCTCTCCACTTGTGCTCTTCTCCACAAGTGTCGCTTTTTCCCCATGTCTCCAGACTTTGCGCAGAGCTTACAGCAGACCCGTAGAGATAAACAAAGCATGGCACTTAGAAGGAGTTTCATAAATCCCGTGGTTGCCATAAAGAGCGCCTACGCAATGATTTTTTGCGTAAGCGAGCTTTATAAATGAGGCCCCAGAGCCTAAAAACCTGCTGACATCTTACAGTGAGCACGCTTGCCTCTCCACACATCTGATCTGTAACTTAGTGTGTTTGCGTCTCCATCCAGTAAATTACATATTGCGTCTTTAACCCTCGTGTCTGTGTATTGTTTCTGGTTTAGATCCCGGGATGGAGGACCTGATGTTGTCAGAGGGAAAAGCAGAAGAAGACGTCGCTCAGAAAGTCGACCTGCAGGACGAGTACGACACTGAAGACCAGGAGGTGGTGCCAGAGAAACCGAAAGCCGACAAACGGGAAAACCTAGGTACGAGTCTGAAGTTAGGCCTGTCACCATCACACATTTTGAAGTGAATATAGATGATAAATAACCATGAAGCAGATTTAAACCACTAAACCAAACTATTCTAAATCTACAATATTGTACAAAAATCATGAGCCACAAAAGGTAAATTTGCAGAATGAAACTCTTTACTTCTTAGTTTGCATCTGTAATGAGTCATACAAGTTATTAATCCAACTTTTTATGGCTCAAAACTCATGATATAGCCAAAAAATAAATATTGACCCCAAAAATATGATTCCGGCTTTGATATATTGAACGATAAGTCAATTAAGTATCGTTACTTTATTTAAGTAGATTTTAAAGTGGATTTTTTTTTAACTTTTATTACTCTACATTTGAGAGCAGGTATGTGTACTTTCTACTGCACTACATTTTTGAACAGGACTGAACAGTAAAAGTATTTTTTATTATTGTTTTGAGACCTGCTGATTTTTCACACACTGATTTTTGGAGCTTATTTTTCACACATTCATAGTTTAAGCAAAGAAAAATTAACAAATAAAAAGATCGATTCAGTTGTTTCTGTTGAACAAAATTCAGCACAAATCTTTATTAAAATCACTGCAATTGATTTGACCACAAAATCTGCACAAAATACTTGGACTTTTTGCTCTAAGTTTATTTTCAACTCTTTCCCCCATGAAGACGACATTTAACTACCCCTGTTGTATCCTTAATGACGTGTTTTGACACCTCCGCTGTATCACTAGAGACGTAATTTGACGACGATTAGAAACGGTTCCTGTTTTTCACATGTAAACAGAGGCTGCGACAGGTGGGGGCCACTACAACCCACACTAGGCTGACCAAGAGGATTCAAGGATACGTTTTTGCAGATTTTTTCCGAAGTGTGACTATTGTAGCTGCCGGAAAAAACACAACACGAAACACACGCATTGGAAAAATTGCGGCGCACAGTTTTAAAAATTATGAGGAGCGGGCGTATTTTATGGATAAGTTTAGAGAAAGTGACTTTTATAGATTTCAAAGTGATGATGAAGTTGATTATAAAGTGGAAAACAGCGATAGCCACGGAATTTCGGAGAGTGAAACTTACGAAGGTGAGAATGCCGGTGATGCGTCTCTAGGGAGTCCTGCGATATCTGTACAAACGTTCGGAGACTTTTTACTCCATTATGAACCAAAATTGCCCTGAAATCTGGATGTTTCTCAGGCGAGTCCTTTGAAATATTTCAGTCTTTTTTTTCCCGAGGTGAGATGTATGACGGAATTGCTACAGAAACAAACGCTTATGCAGAAAGAAAGTATTCTCTTTTTCAGTGAGCTGTTATAAACCTGTAAATGAGTTGAATCACATTTAAACATCCATAAATGAAGAGTTCAGAGTCTAAGGCACAGGTGTCAAACATAGATCCGGCCCTCCAAGACCTTTAATCTGGCCCTCAGCTAATTTTCTACTAAAATATTTTAATTCTATTTTTTATTAAAATATTGTTAATTTTCTGTGGTGTTTATCACAGCAGTGTCTCCAGTGTCTCTGTACGTGGCCCCTCCCACCAGAGCAGCACAAATGAAGACTTGTCTCTTTCCAAACGCTCTTAAAGGACGATCGTTTTGACTGTTGACCATGACGCCCTCATCAGAAAAATGTCCAAAAATGAGAAAAGTGCAGCCGAGTCCAGGATTTTACAACAAAAATTTACTTACTCCTATTTCTACAAGTTAATTTTAAACAAGTTCATGTTAAAACATTGTGTTGAAATTGTATTTTTCTTAAAGTTTCAGGTTGTTCATAATATTATAATATTTTGTAAAAGAAAGAGTTCATCAATTAAAAAAGATTTTTGTAATAGATTTGTGTTTCTCTGCACAAATATTTGAACTTATTGCAATTTTTGGGATTTATATGACATTAGATTTCTGATCTGGCCCCTTTGGGATCAAAGTCGGTTGGTAGATTCCAAATATGTCTGTGTTTCACTATGGTTCATGAGTGTGAAAATCATTTAAAATCACTCGTGGAAGTCCGTTTTCTTTTGTGCAGTTATGCTCTATGGGTAGTCCTAGTCATGTATGTATGGGTTGTTTCTAGTAGGCGTTAAAGGGGTACTCTAATACTTTTACATTAGTATTCTTTGCTTTTGTTGTACTTTTTATTTAAATAACAAAATTCATTGTTCTTCCACCACTGTACATATGTAGTTTGGAGCAAATGGAAGACAAAAATTGATAGTTTTTTGTGTCAAATGTCACTGAATCTGAATCTGTCTTGTTCAGGTTCATGAAATCAACACTGAAAACCTTTTTTTTTTTGTTTTTTTTGTTTTTGTATTTAGGTCGATAAATATCTGTGCTATAAATGGCTTTAATGTGTCTTTAATTTGTGTGCGCTAGACCAAGAGGAGGAGGACCTGGCCGACTACAACGGAGACGATGAAAACGAAGGAGAATTTGAGGCCGACAAACAGGCGGCGCTTGCTCAGATGTAAGGTCACAACAAAAAGGTTTCTGTGTACGGCCTGTGTGCCCTGAACCCAGAGGACTCCTATGACTTGACTTTAGGATTTCAACTCAATACGGCTTCTTCAAAACAATCACTAAAGATCAAAATTTCCGCGCTATTTATTTATAAACCAGTGCTTGTCTGCGATCAGTGGAGAATTACAATCTGTTCTTGCTTATTTACTCCATTCAATAATGTTTACATGTGGGTAGATGTGAGATTTTTTTCATCTGCTGTAAATTAAAAGGTCTATATTACACTGTACGCGATTTCTGATCCATGTTATAATGTCGTTTCCTCATCGTAAACAGACCTGGAGTTGTATTTTGTTTCATTCACACGTGTTTAAATGAGTTCTTCTCTCAAACAGTTCCACCTTGTGATGTCATGTGGTAATAAAAGAAGTGCTCCACCGTGTTTTAAACGAATTCATACACCTTCACTGGAAAGATCTGGATTATTTCAGTAGGAGTGCCGATCTTTGCTGAACTAAACGTAAAAGCAAACTATTCATGACATCACAAGGTGGAAGGGAGCATTTTTTTGAGCTTTGGAGATGTAGACAAATATGTGTGAATGAAACAAAACACAGGTCTAAGTTTGATGAGGTAACTAAATCCATGTTTCATTCGTTGATTTGTTTTTCGATATAAAATCAAAAATACGAAAACGAAAAAATGACTATTTTCTTCATTATTTGTCTCCAAAACCAAAATGAAGAAAATTGGAAACGATTAGTTTTTTCGGTTTTTGATTTTGTGTTTCCGTTATATTTCGTGACTTAAACTGCGATGCAAGACTGAACCAAGGCTGAACCAAGGCTGAACCAAGGACTGAACCAGGACTGAACCAGGACTGAACCAGGACTGAACCAGGACTGAACCAGGACTGAGCCAGGACTGAACTAAGAGTATCGGAACAGGCCTGGAGGTGCACCCGCGTAGACTGTCGGGTGATCGGGACTGAGACCGGGACCAGGACCAGGACTGAGCCCAGTTTAGTCCTGGTTTAGTCCTGATTTAGACCTGGTTTAGACCTGGTTTAGACCTGGTTTAGTCCTGTTTCAGTCCTGATTTAGTCCTGGTTTAGTCCTGGTTCACTCCGCCATCGCAGTTTAAGTCACGTAAACAGAAAACAGTTGTTATCCGTTTTTTCATTTTGGTTTTGGAGACAAATAATGAAGAAAATCTTTTTTTTTTTAAGTTTTCTTTTTTTTTTGGTTTTATTTTGAAAAACGAATGAACGAACGACACACGGATTTAACTACTTTATAACATGGATATAATAAATTTTGTGTAATACAGGACCTTTTTAAATGTTCATAATATAAAAAAATGACAAAGAAATTAACAAAAAAAAAAAAAAATCATGTTTTTTTTTTTTACTTGTAAAATGGGTAGTTTCTTGACATTTTATTTCATATCGATTCTTTTAAAGGCGCCCTGTGTAACTTTACTGGTCGAGGCTACGCCCACCTTGTTTTCTCCATGGAGACGTCACTGCTTTGCCTCGAATGTTCCACAGTATTAAACTTTTCTGTCTCCATGAAAACGAATTGAACTTACAGGTCAAATCTGTGCAACCTCACTCATGTTTTTAACCAGTAAAACGTGTAATTGAATATGTGAAAAATCGATATATTTCATGCCGTACTGTGCAACAATTCGGGCAAAGCAACAACGTCTCCATGGAAACAAACAGTTGGCCAACCCTTCACGAGAAATGTTACACAGTGCACTTTTTATTTAATTATTTTATTCAGCTAATTTCGAGCCAGTACAGTTTTTGGTCTGATGTTTTTTAAAAGATGCCTTATAGGTTACGTAGTCGTGTAGGGGTGGGCAAATTAATGTTTTTATTGTAATTTAAATTTTTGCTTCTGCAGAAAATTATCTAAAAAAGTGTTAAAATGTGCCTCTGAAGGTCTCGCCTTAGGTTCAAATCTTGCGCACTGACTGGACTGTGAAATTAAAACACAAAAACACTGAAAATATAACAAAAAAAATTACAGGTTTCAAGTACTACAAGTTTCTTTTCTTCAACTCATTTCGCATCGTTTTAAAGGTTCACTATGTCATTTTCTGATGGGTGTCGACCACCTGCTCGTCTCCGTGGAGATGTTAATGCTTCAGGGTTCCCACAGTCATGGAAATCCTGGAAAAGTCCTAAAATTTTGTAAATTCAATGAAAGTTTTGGAAAAGCCATGGAATTTTAGTATCCCTTTCACGCAACTACAAGTTCTCATGAGACTATTACGATTATTTCCGAACGTCTGCGCTTTTTGTTCTAAAAGAGACGACAATAAATGCACTGACAGGATTTTGAATGTTAAAAAACTATAACACCAAACCATAAGGTGAGTGGAAAGAGTTAACACTACATTTTCAGCTCTAAAAGTCTGATGCAGGTGCTGTAAAGTCATGGAAAATTCACTTTAGGTCATGAAAAAGTCATGGAAAAGTTTTGAAGTTTTGTCAGCGAAAAAGAGTGGGAACCCTGATGCTTTGCCTGGCGTTTTCCACAGTGTGGCATTTAACTTGCATTTATTCATGTACAGCTGGTTTTGGCGCTGTCTTCCTACCGAAGGAGGCAGGACAACAGCGCCATCTGCAGTCCGACTTCCTCAGGACAATATCAAAGGTGTGTGAGAATAAAAAAGCCCCCTCGTCCCGGTTTATAGTCCCGTGGGCATGTTTCCGTACTTCACACACCTGGGATACTGTCCTGAAGAAGTCGGACTGCGGGATGGCGCTGTCGTTCTGCTTCCTCCGGTAGGAAGACGGCACCAAAACCTGTTTAAATCAGCTGAGCGACACGTCACAGCAACATCATGTGACTCTGAGGAAGACGGCGAGTGAGCAGTCGAAATTGTCAGATACGAAAACAAACTCTTGGTCTGAAAAAATAACCTAATAACATAAATGATCGGAAGACCAAATGAACCTCATTAGACTATTGCCCTTATTAGTTTATCACCTACCGTGTTTTCCGCACTATTAGGCGCTCTGGATTATAAGACGCACTGTCATTAAATGGTCTATTTTCGAACTTTTTTCACAAATAAACCACACCGGACTTTGAAGGAAACACAACAGTTGGATGGGTGAGTTTGTGGCGTTCACGGTGACTCTGGGCTTTGTTCAGTTGTGGCGTGTAGGGAGGGTGCTGTCTGGGACCAACGGATTGTCGGCGTGTTCGCAGTGACTCAGTTGTTCAGCGCAATAACATCTCCATGGAGACGAGCAGACCCTCACCACAAAAGTCGCATAGTGCCCTTTTAATATTAGACGTTTTTCATTTTCCTGATCATCAAAACAACAATCTGAAGTGAACTTGCTGTCGATATTTTGCCCATCTCTGTAAGACTGTACAAAACTACACAAGAATAACTGTTTTATGCTTAAAAATGTCATGTTAATTTTAGGAGACAGGTGGCGATGTCTGCCCTGCTGTTTTGTAAAGATACAGTTTGCAGGGAACGTGGCTCTGAGCTGTTTTTATGCTGTAAAATTATGAAGGATCTTTCCTGAAACGTGCAATGGCGTCCTGAGGTTTGTGAACCGCTTCGGGAATATTTAAACTTGACTTAGGCCTGTCACGATAATCACAAAATCTACTTATTATTCTGGACACCGGTGGATAGTACTCAGTTATGTTTACCTGTGTAACTTTTTCACAGTACGTTTTAGAAGCATACTTTTACTCCTACTTGGGTAATATTTTTATTGAAGTAACGGTTCTCTTACTTGAGTAAAAGTTGTGGTTCCTCTTCTCACTGTGAGTAAGTCTAAAGCAGGGGTCTCCAACCTGTAGTTCAGGAGCTACCAGTGTAAATCTATTATTTTTAGTCTAATTATGTGCACCAATTGATGGATATAATGGTTTATTTTTTAAAGGAATTTAACTTTACTTCATCTAAGGCTTAACATGGCTCAAAATTTCTTGTATTGAGATGCCAACATTTGTGGCTCTATCTCAATTTTGTTTTGTAAATGTTGCTCACCGGTGGAAAAAAGTTGGAGACCCCGGTCTAAAATGACAAAAGCTTCACGTTGAGAATATGAAATCATCTGAACATTTGTGTTTCATGTGTAAAATCTCTCAATCGTCCAGGTAGAATTCATGGCAAAGGAGAAAATCAATTTGATTTAGTTTATTTTAATCTTCAATTCAATTTGGTTTAGTTTATTTAAATTTTCAATTCAATTTGGTTTAGTTTATTTTCATTTTCATTTCAATTTGGTTTAGTTTATTTTCATTTTCATTTCAATTTGGTTTAGTTTATTTTCATTTTCATTTCAATTTGGTTTTGTTAATTTTAATCTTCAATTCAATTTGGTTTAGTTCATTTTAATCTTCAATTCAATTTGGTTTAGTTAATTTTAATTTTCAATTCAATTTGGTTTAGTTTAGTTTATTAAGTTTATTTGGTGAATACGTTTCGCAGCTGCTTCTTCAGTTCGGATTCAAACCAAATAAACTTTTGTCCAGTTGCCAAGTTGAATTTCGGGCGGCGGCAGTAGCTCAGTCGCCCATTCGCCCACTGATCTGACGGTCGGCGGTTTGAATCCCGCTCTCGACATAAAGCGGGCAGATCCACCGACCCACAGGTTGGCGGCGCGATTCCAGCTCCCACAGATGAATGCTGTCGTTGTGTCCTTGAGCAAGACACTTAACCCCACCTCGCCCCCAGTGTCTGCGTACGCTGGTGGGTGAATGTGTGAGCGGTTCCTTGTTGTAAAGCGCTTCGAGAAAAAATTGGAAAAGTGCTATAGAAAAATATGACCATTCACCATTCTCCGTTTGCGTTTCTTGCACCGTTCTTTGAGATATGATTTAGTTTCTCGTTTCTGAGTTAAAAAATGTATTTAAACAACACATTTTTAGGAGCCTGTGATTGATGCGAGTGTTCAAATTCCAAAAAGGTGAAAGCACTGAACTGAAAAACTGTTCTCTAAAGCCTGTTTGTGACTATGTTATTTGAGATGGACTTGTTTAACGGCACAAATCCTCTCTCTTGTTGTAGCTCCAACGAAGTCAGTTTTTTCTTTTTGACCGTGTTAAAACAAAACTCAGATTAAATTCTAACTTGAGTAACAGAGCTTCAGACCCCACACCCCCGGGGGAACGTCGATGCCATCAGCTGCAAAAGGCTCATTTATCGCAATGTATCGTTCTTTAAAATGTGTTATCGTGACGGGCCTAAACTTGACTGAAGTGTTTGTGGCCGGTGAGGAGCGAGGTATCGGGATTTTCAGTTCAAATGCTGCATCTGCCTTTTGTTTAGGGTCGTTTTGTCCTGATACGAGCTTTCACTGGACGGTTTTTGTGTTGGGAAGTGCATATGACAGGTTAGACTAATAATCTCACCGCTTATTTTGTTCAGTATATTTAACATTTTACTAGTCGTTGCCTTTTTTGTGTGTGTGTGAAGTTTATAAACGCCTGGTTGGACATATCGAGAAACCATAATGTTAACAAGGACCAAGGTTTTTAAATTGCACAATAGTTAGAATTAGATTAGAACAACTACATTTCAACACCTCTGTTTTGTTAGATCAATGTTTTCCTTGGATGTAACTTGTCTCTGCATTTTTGGATAGATTTTTAATTTAATTTTTTGTTTTTAACTCTTAACTCTTTCAAAGTAATAATTAGAAAAACCTGTCATATGCACTTTAAGCTGCCTTTAAATGTCCTCGAATATAATCTAGCTAGCTATGTTTTTTTTTTCTGTACATTTTGATAATTTAACTTGATTTGAAATTGTGTTTTCATCATGAGTTTGGTCTACAAAGCGACGTCTGAAACTGCAGCTTGTCATGTTCTGTGTAAACTTTAAAAGATTTGCATTTTTATGGAGAAAATAAACTTTTAACAAGACTAAACCTGTAATTGTGCATTTGTGTCGCAGCCTCTTCTCACATCTGAAAACCTAAGATGAACCAGGTCTGATTAGTATTGGTTACAAGGTTCCCACGGTCCTGGAAATCCTGGAAAAGTTATGGAAATTTAGTATCTCTTTCACGCAACTTAAGCGTTCTGTTAAGTTATCATTAGACTGTTAGGATTATTTCTGAACATCTTGTTTAAAAGAGACTACAATAAATGCAGTGACAGTATTTTGAATGTGATAAAAAGCATTACAACTAAATATCTGTCTTTCAAGTCCCACGGTATTTACTATTTATTGAAATGACTTTTAAAATACTGAAAATTATTATTTTATTCCTCATGTTCGGCGGGCCGGATTAAAAAGTACAATTTAGTTAAAAATTCATATAAATTGTCAAAATCTAAGCTTTAGTTTAAGAACTTGAAATGACTTGAAGCTCAAAGCAGACGACTTGGACTTGACTTGGACTTATGGGCCAGTGACTTGAGACCTGACTTGGACTTGCCTGTATTTGACTTGGGACTTGACTCGGACTTGAGGTCAAAGACTTGAGACTTACTTGAGAATTGCAAAACAAAGACTTGGTGTGTGGAATGAATGAATAATGCACTAAATCGTAAAAACCTTTGGATGAGAACAAGCAATTTACACGCAATTAACGAACATTTTTATCTCATCAGATGTATGTTGTATGAAAACGTCATGGAAACAACTTCTGGTCACATTCCTTTTTTAGTTTTTTCTGTCATAGTGCAACATCAGAATGAAGGAAAGTAAGGAATTATATTTAGTAAGTCTGGTCCTTGAAGAATAAATACCCAACATATATATATACATACATAATACATTAAAACAAAACCAAAAACACCACATTGTTGTTTGTTTTTTTCCATATTTTATTGACTCCCACCGTTCGCATTACAGCATCCATCTTGATAGTTTTTTGCTCGGATCAGGTTCCTAAACGTGGTCAAATACAAAAGGCAGTAACTTTGAACAAGAACATTATGCTTTTGGTGTGGGGCTCGTCAAGGCTGCATCACAGAGCACCTCATCTGTGATACGTTGTCGAACAGAAGATTTGGACCGGATCAGGACCAGGACCGGGACCGGGACCATTTCTCTGAGGTTGTCTGGTTTTGTCTTCTCAAAGTATCAGATGATCTTGACCACAGGAAAGTACTTATGAGCCGAGAAGTCGAATTCTGGCATCACCTGGAAAACACAAACTTATTAGGATCAACTATCTCATATCACACAGCTTCTTGCGAAGTATTTAGTAACTTTTAAAGCCACGGTATGTAACTTTTTAATCAAAAAAAGGGTAAAAAGTTGTTCCTCCTCCTGCTTGTTTCTGTGTAAATGCCATTCTTCCTGCTAAAATCTGCTACAGTATGTCATAAAACTTACTTATCTCTATAAAGAATGTTCCAAAGTATGGTTTTAACTTTGTTTCCGTGGAATCTTGCAGGTGATGTGGGACCTCCAAAAAGTTACTGTATCTTTAAGTGTTTTGAAAGCAACATGTCTCAATATTTTGGCTTTAAAAAATCCCAGATACGAACAATGTAACTATGCAAATCTCACAGAATGATATTATTACAACCACATCAAAATCTGGTCTAAACTGGACTAAACTCAGAACTAAACCTTTGAACTAGACCAGGATTAGACCAAGACTAAATCAGAACTAGACCAGGACTAAACCAGGACTAAACCAGGACATAACCAGGACTAGAATGGGACTAAACCAAGTGTGATCAAACCCTTAAAGAGCCATTAAACACTAGGTTTTAAGCAGTTCCTTAGTTTAGCCTCCACAAAATATCGGGAAAATATCGTACAGAGACATTTGGATATTGTTACATCCCTAATCGTGAGCCTCCCCAGCATATGGTGAGCTTTCCCAAGATATCGCAATAAATATCGATCCTAAAGAGGCTGTTAAAGACACGGCTTTGGACACAAAAGTCAGTTTTTGCCAAAATAAGGCCAGGGATAGGTACCGTATTTTTCTAAGTATAAGTCGCACTTTTTTTTTCATGATTTAGGTGTTTCCTGCGACTTAAACTCCTGGTGCGACTTATATATTAAAATTTGACAGTCACGAGAGGCTCTAGGCTTGTGTGTCAGTATCTGCTGCTCCTATTACTCCTGCACCACTGTCACTTCTCTCTCTAAATAGTGAAATATTCAGCTAAAAACGGTAATCGAGCAGCAGAAAGAAAGTCTGGAGTGAGCGAGAAACTTGTGAGGGACTGGCGGAAAGCGGGGATGGAGAACACAGCTTCACGGTAACCAGGAGGATGCACCATGTAACTTTCTGGAAGTCACTGGATGGATCGACAAAGCCTGGACTTCACTGACACCGAAACCATCCTGTCGGGATTCAGAAAGGCCGGAATAATTCTAACTGGAACTGATGCTGAGTCTGACGAGAGCGACACAGAAGAGGAAGCGACGCTCTGTTTACCTCCAGAGGTCGCGTAGAAGTGACACCGAGAATGAAGAATTCGATGGATTTAGTGATTTGGAGTGAGATCGTTCATATATTACGTTAACATATTAAAGCCTATTCAGCCTGTTGTTCTTTATTCTGTTGTTGTTACTAAAACTTGTCTTTCAAGATGAAATGTCAGTTCCTGGTCTCTGATTTTATCAAATACATTTCCCCAAAAAGTGCGACTTATACTCCGGAGCGACTTATAATCTGGAAAACACAGTATACACTTTCTATTTTAGCCCCTTTTACACGGCTAATCAGAAGAAAAAATGTGATTTTGTTGTTTAGTGGCCCTTTAATCTCCCTTTGCAAGTCAGACATTTTCATATAAGCAGTAATAATGTATAGTTTATTTACCTTTGTCTCCTTCTTATGCCCTCCAGCCAGCAGTTTCATCACCACAATATTAGGTTTAGCTACCTTTAGAATGCGATTTACCTGCAACACAGAAAAAGAATTACTCATACAGCTTCATAATAAGACTCTACAAGGTGCACGGTGTAACTTTTTGGTTGGATTTATTCAGTTACAGGTGGTTTTATAGCTCAAAAATACAAAGAAAAACAGACATTCTGACTGTGAGTTGGTCTGGTTTAGTCTCCGTGAGGATAGAAAAGTTACACAATGCGCCTTTAACTAAACACGCAGGTTAAGCACAGGGTTTTTCACCTCAGGATCGGGACTAGGGACGTTCTCCAGGATCAGTTTGGCCTGTTGGAAGTGTTTACTGGCCGCCATGTACAGGTCTGCGGAGCCCGGGGGAGGATTGTACTTTTTAAGATCTGACATCTCCTACAGTCAAGAACAAAACAAAACACACAAGTTAAAAATAGTGATAACGAATAGTAAAAATAGAACAGTTGCTGCGAGGGGTCGACAATATTGACCGAGCTCTGGGACACACTGCTTCCCCCACGTCCGAACAGCCCCCTCTAGTGGAGAGTTTTAAGTCTCGTCTTAAGACCCACTTTGATTCTCGGGCTTTTCGGTTTCGTATATTTTTATTCATGAGCACACAGATATAAATATGTCATTTAAAAAACACAAGTACACACACTTTTAAAAAATTTTTTTACTGATAAAAAGTTAACTAACAAAAAAAAATAAAAAATCACTCAAGAAATACGAGTAGTGTCATGCAATATCATTTAATAATAATATAATAAATAAATAAATAAATGAATAAATACATTAAAAAAAATAATACGCTATTATTAAAAATCTAATAAAAATAATAGTAATATAATAATAAGACTAAAAATAAATAAATACAAATAAATAAATAAATAAATGGGAGGTGGGTGGTTGATTTAGACTGTGTTTCAAAAAAGTCAATAAATGGTTGCCACTTTCTAAAAAATTTGTGTTACTTTTCTTGGAGTACCTAATCTTTTCTACGTTCAAAAAGGACATAACTTTATTTTTATAAAAAGGACATAACTCATTAAACCACTGAGTGTTAGATGGGCTAATTCTCTTCAACTTTTACACTCTGGAGGGCGGTTTCAGATTTTTGTGTTTTTAAACCCCAAAAATGTCATCACCGTCTAAACGAAAGACACTTCTAATAAAATATTTTGTCATTTTTACCCGCAAGTGTTCTCGTGTAAACAGGCCCTTAATCATTCATCTCAAAACACAGAATTCAGAAATCCCTTGATCGAGCTACTTTGAAAGGAGTACAGAGCTACAGGCAGGAGATAAAGCAATAACATCTCCATAAAGACAAGCAGGTAGCGCACCCTACTCTAGAAAGTTACATACTACACCTTTTAGCCATGCTAAATACTGAAAAATGATTTGTACCTGTGAAAACGAGTGATTTCTGAGGCTCAGTGTGAGACGAAACAACTGTGAATATCGAGTTTGTCCTTCATCACACTGTTAAAAACTAATTTTGCATAAACATGAGTCCTAATTTTCTCGTGGCTTCAAAACAACACCAGTAGCTGCAAAAAAAGTCTCACCTTAAACTAGGGATGTAACAAATAACCAAAATATTGTGATATTGTATCGTCAAAAGTCTCTCAGTAATATCGTGGACCATCACAATATATCGAATCACAAGTTTCTTTGCATAAATTAAGAGTTATGATGCAACAATAGTTAAAAAAACAGAGGGAACTACATCGATCATGATCCTTTGCTCCGTTTTGGTGCAAACTACAAGAAGAAATAACAGTTCTAAGCACTTTTAAGTCTTAGTTCTTTGGATTAAGTCTTGTCAAGGCATTTTAAGAGGAAAAAGTATCATATTCACAAATTTGTTAAGCTTCCACAAAATATCTTAATAAATATCGTACCGTGAGATTTGCACATCGTTACATCCCTACCTTAAACTGTATGTAGTGCACAGGAGGGGGCGTGACCACACTGTTGAACGGAGCAAACCGGTGCTCGTAGCGAACCTGCTCACTGTCCAACTCAAACTGAGGC